AAAGAATTGTCCAAAGCCAGGCACTGGTGGCTCACGTCTGTAATCTTAGTGACTCAGGAGGCTGACATCTGAGATCACGGTTCAAAGCCAGCTGGGGCAGGAAAGTCTGTGAGCCTCTTATCTCCAATTAACCACCAGAAAACCGGAAGTGGCACTGTGGCTCAAGCAGTAGAGTGCTTGCCTTGAGCTGAAGAGCACAGGGACAGCTCCCAGACCCAGAGTTCAAGCCCCAGGACCAAAAAAAAAAATTGTCCATAGGTCATCTGTATTCTTACTTACTGCCTGCAGTTTGTTCTGTCTCAAGAAGAGGCCCTGGATCAGGCTTTGCCTGAATGAGTAGATCTAGTTCTGGGCTTTTCATTTGCTTGTCACGCTTTTCCTCTTTAAATCTGGGAAAGAAAGGCTCCTTTTCTCCTTTCCCTGTACTTTCCCCCTGAAATAGTTCTCAGAGACAGCATCATAGAGGAGAGAGGAAGCCAGCAGGAGTAGTAGAGAGGGGGCTGATGCCTTGCTAAGTCTCCATTCCAGGTAAAATTCCTGCCGCAAATGGTGGCATTAGTGGTAGGATGCATGGCGTGGGGTGAGGATGGGATGACACACACTTTGGCATTGGGCACCAATTACTATGGAATGACAAGGCCTGGCAAGGCTGTTGCCCCATAAGGAAGTAATTATTTGTTCTGTTGACAAGTGAGAAAGAATGATTTCCTGACCAGAGCTACTCAGGACCAAGCAGAACATGTCACCTGGTCCCTCCCCTCGTTCTAGGCTGTGGGAAAGGATGGGCTTCTCTCAGAGCAAGGGCAGGGATAAGGCCAAGCCAAAGCATGCATTCATTTTAGAAATATTTATTAAGCATCTGCTAGGCACTGTATAGAAAGCCAGGGGTAGCCAGGCGCCAGTGGCTCATGCCTGTAATCCTAGCTACTCAGGAGGCTGAGATCTGAGGATCACGGTTCAAAGCCAGCCCGGGCAGGAAAGACCGTGAGACTCCTATCTTCAATAAACCACCAGAAAACTGGAAGTGGCACTGTAGCTCAAGTGGTAGAGCGCTCGCCTTGAGCTGAAGAGCTGAGGGACAGAGCCCAAGCCCAGAGTTCAAGCCCCACAACCAAAAAAAAAAAAAAAAGTCAGGGGTGTAGAAACAGGCCTGGTCCCCAACTCAGGAAGCCTTTGATATAATTCATCCTTTGTATAATCCATCTTTTTCCTCTGTGTCTCTCCACCATAGAGCATGCCAGTATTTTAGAATCTGCAATGTAGCCAGGCTCAGTCATTCATACCTGTCATCCTAACTACTCAGGAGATTGGGAAGATCATAGTTCCAAGTCATCTGGGGTGGGGGGGGGGGAATGTTTGCAAGACCCCTATCTCAAAATAAAACAGTGGGCTTGGTGGTCTGAATCTGTCATTCCAGCTATGACAGGAAGTGTAAATAGGAGGCTCAAGGTCCAGGCCAGATCACGTAAAAATAACCAAAGCAAAAAAGGGCTAGAGGCATTGGCTCAGCAGCAAAGCAACTAGCTATCAAGCACGAAGTTCTGAGTTCAAACCCCAGTAACACACACACACACACACACACACACACACACACACACACACACACACACAAACTAATAATTGCAATAATCTGAAAGGTCTTGGAGGGCTGAACAGAGCCTCTAAAATTGCAAGGAAAAGAGCCATGGAAGAGTTGCGCATAAACATTACTCAGCTAATCACCTTGGTTTGAAGGCAGTGTGTGTCAGGTATGTAGGCTGCAGGCTAGGTTATGAAATAGGAAGTCTCAAGAACTTCCCAGGAGGAGCCCAGCCTCCTCAGAGCTCCTCCAGTCTCCCTACCTGGCCCTTTCTTATCTCTGGGGAGGCTTTCCCTACCCCCCCTCTGCATGAATGGTCTTTTTCTGTCTATAAACGTTCCACATGTCAAAAATTTGTGTCTTGTGATTTGCATTGTCATAGTTGTGACTTTTACAATCTAAGTCATAACTGCAAGGCCAGATGGATCGAGCCTTTTATAAATTTCCAAAACATGCAGCAGAGCTCAATGGCTCTAAGTGTGAATAAGACCCTCTAATAGTTTTTAATTTCTGCAGACTGCTTGGTCACAATAGAAAACAACCAGAGGTTGGCCACAGGCTTGACCAGAACTCCCCCCTGCCCCATTCTCACCTTTATTCTGAGTTTCAGACAACCTACCAGGTTCATGTGGAATCTCACCCTTCTCGCCCCAGCACAGTCTCAGCTGAAATGAGATTGCTTTCCTGTATAAACCCAGAAAACCAACACCCTGCCCCCTTCAGGGGCCTGCTCGCCTGAGTTATAAGGGACCTGCAGTACATTTAGGCCACCTGCAAGACTCAGAGTCCTGCCCAGCCTGCTCCCTCGCTACACCAAGAAGCAGGCCTGAGATCCCTGCCTCCCAATGCCCCTCAGTGCACTGGAAGGGATGGTAGTACATGATGTGAAACAGAACTGTTTGTCCAAGATCAAGCCCCAAGCCTCCTTATTACATGCCCCAGGGATAGCTTTACTCTTGTAACAGGCTTTTTGATGAATATGAAAATGTGCCTTTAATGTCTCCTCCCATTCTCATTCCCTTCAGCCAATAGCCTCCACTGTCAAGGCTGGAACTGAGAGACAGGAGCCCCCCTTCCTCTTCAAGACCACTTGGAGGGTCAAGGGGCGGAGGCTGAACACTGGGAAGAAAAGAAAGGGTTCTCTACAGTCTAAGTTTGTTTCCCTGTATCATGAGCAGTGATTTGAACTGTGAGTTCTATGAAGAGTGTTCTAGAAGTTGCCCACACAACATATGGTGAAAGAAGCAAGCTGCCATACTTCCGGGAAGAGAACAGAAAGGAAAGTTGGCACCTTGGCCCCTGAACTTGGAGGACATCAGATACAAATGAATAATTTGGTAGAAATTCAGTAAGTGTGGGTGTGGCCCTCTGAGTACAGGTATAGCCTGGGAAAAGAGGAGCACTGTGTAGGACACAGTGGTGGCCACAGGGGTCCTGATTATGATGCTTGTTGTCTCCTAAACTGGGATCATCTTTTTTTGTTTTTTTTTGGGGGGGGGTCCAGTCATGGGGCCTGAACTCTGGGTCTGGGCGCTGTCTCTCAGCTCCTCAGCTCAAGGCTAGCGCTCTACCACTTGAGCCACAGCGCCACTTCCGGCTTTTTTCTTTTTTCTTATGTGGTGCTGAGGAATCGAACCCAGGGCCTCAGGCATGCAAGGCAAGCACTCTACCACTGAGCCAGCCTCCCAGCCCCTAAACTGGAATCATCTTAACTGAGTTCTGCTCATACTTTTTTCCCATCACAAAAAAGAAAAAAGAAATATAAACATATCACATAATCACAATAATATAAACAAACAATATTATAATTATAATCCAGCACTATTGTGGAGTTGAAAAAAGTTAGTGTCAAAGTATTGTATTGTCAAACAACTGAGAATAATATTAATGACATAATATATATATTACATTATATATATCTGAATTACATGCATATGTATTATGTACCATATATGTATGTATTGTATGTATACAGGTATATAAGTATGTAGGTATATGTCATATGTATATATTACTATGTGTTATATGTATATGGTATACACATAATGTATAATGTATATTGTATATAATTACATAAATAATTATATAAAATATATAATACTTAGGTTTTTTTAGAATTTGGCAATCAATAGGTACATAAAGGATTGCCCAATAGGTTAAGTCAGGAGTTTTGCAGCAATATCTGTCCAGTTGCCCAATGAATTAGTCAGGATTTTTATTCAAGTATCAAGAAGCCAAATTTAAACTGCCTTAGGTAGAAAAGCAACTCCTGATGTAACTACAACCACGAGTTACCAAATTTATAAAGAATCCAAAGTTCATGAGAGGCAATAAGAGCCTGCACCAAAGAAACAGTTTATAGAACAATGAGAAGAATGCCTTGAGGCACCTTATATTAATATCATCACAGTTAAAGTACAGAACAAAGAAAAACCAGCAGTGCCTGTAATCCCAGCTATATCAGAAGCAGGATAGAAGGGTCACAGTTCAGGCTAGCCAGGGCAAAAATAGAAGACCCCACCTGAAAAATGACTGAGGCAAAAGAGGAGTGGCGATTTGAGGGAAAGAGTATCTGGCTAGCACAACGCAAGGCCCTGAGTGCGAACCTCAGTACCAGAAAAAGAAAATCCAGAAATTAAAAGAGCTCCTTGATACTATTTTAAACTTGTGTTTAAGAATTATATATCAATTAAGCTTTTAAAACATAAGTCCTAAAGGCTGGAGAAATGTAAATTATCTACAACAGACTAAGAACCTAATCAACATCATCAGACTGCTCACCGGTGATACCTAAGACAAGGAAGAATTAGTATGTGAGTGAATGTAAGTTTGGACCAAGAGTTCTCTACTTATTCAGGGTGTTGTTCACGTGTCAGGACAAGAATAAACCATTTTGGAGAGGCCAGACTTCAGGAAGGTGAGCAGAGAGGGACGGTGACCTCTGATGAGTGACATGAAAAGCAGAGATGAAGGAGCTTTATTGGCAAGACACACGGTCGATACGGGCATGGCCACTCTTTATTCTTGGACAGCACAGAATCCAGGAACTTGGGGTCTCAGTGTACGGATGGCGGTCCACACCTCAGGGATCCCAGCCCCCACTCTGGGGAGGCTGAGTGCTTGGGCCCTCAGAGGGCCTTTGGTGTGGGGGTGACAAGGCTGCTGCCTGCTTCTCTGCACAGTGCATCGTTCCCTGAGCACCCTCTTCTGCCTAGCGTCCCCCACAGCCCTGGAGAAACACAGAGGAGGACCTGGCTCTAAAACCAGGCTAGAAGTCTGCCACTTTCCAGGCCTGAGGAGCCTCAGGGCAGGTCTTGGAGAGGTAGGAAGCAGAACCCCCTCATGGGACCCCCCCATCCCTCCCTTGGCGAGCCTGCCCTAGTACCCCATGTGTGTGACGTTGGCTCTGAGTCCTACCTGCTCAGTCCTCGGCCCTCTCGCCGGCCTGTGCCTGTCGTCGGTCCAGAGCCAGCTGGAGGGCATGCCTGACGGCTTCCACGTTGTTCAGAACGTTGTATCGGCTCAGGGCCACCAGCCGGTCAAACTCCTCAGGCTCATAGGTGAAGTTCATCATGCCATAGGGGGTGTCTGGCCCATTGGTGTCGAAGTCCCCAAACGCCTTCTCCTCAGCTGTTTGTCGCTCCACACCTGGGGGTGAGAAACAGAAGTAAGGTTAGGCTGGGGTCCTCTGGGGAAGGGGGGATCCCTTGGATCCTACCTGAGTCACATCTCAGCTCCCGTGCTCATCGGGGAAGATGGCCCAGCCAAAAACACTGGAGCCCAGGAAGCTGAGGACAGCAGCCGCCAGAGACAGGCTTTTGTACATTGCCCAGGGAGTCCGCTCTAAGGTGCATCCATCACCACCCCTCCAGCCCCAGGGCTGTACAGGTCAGATGCAGGGCAGGATGTCCCCTTACCTGGGGCCAGGTGTGTGCGAAAGGTGCTGTTGACAAGGGGGAAGTGCAACACGATGGGCGAGCGGGGGTCGTCAGCGTTGGCAAACAGATAGCACTCCTGAGGTTCCTCCAGGTCCTCCGGGCCCAGCTCTATCCTGGGGAAGGGGATCCCTCGGTCCTGGCAGTACTTCTCTGTCATCTGTAAGACCTTGCGGGGGGGGGGGGGGGGCGGGGGGGGGGGGAAGGAAGGGGGAAGGGTGAGCTCCTGGCTCCGTCCACCCTCCACGCTGGCTCTGACCCTGCCAGGACTCCACAGATCCTGACTTCAAGCAGCTCTGCCACGGAAAAGCCACGCTGGTCAGATTTTTAAAAATGAGAGTACACGTCTAGTGAAACTGAAACAGAGTCCCTGTAATCAACGGTGGCCAAGAATGAATCATGGAAGCCTTTAGATCTTGAGTGGCATCCTCATTCTTACTATCATTCCTCCCTGTCACCTGGCCTTCCCTTCTGGGACCCCCTCTGTTCCTGTTAGGGGCTAGTCTCAATGTCGCAGGGTTGAGAGAATGACTACTTGGTGAGCACTGAAGCAGCCTCTATCTGTCCTCTGATCCAGGGCACTCGTTGGACCGAAGAAGGCAGAGGACAAAGAGAGAGGGGCTGGTCTAGGGGCATCGCCACACCCACATCCACATGGTGACCTCTGACTGCTGCCCTATAGTTTTTGAGGCTGTCACCCTTGGAGTCACCCTGAAGAGACCTTAGTGGCTGTTGTTACCATCGCAATAAAGGCCAGGAGGCCCAAGCCCGTCCTGGGGTGGGGAAGGAATCTCATGACAATAAGAGAAGGTATCTGGGACGGTCTAGACGATGCCCGACAACCTCCTGTGGTTTCCTCTCCCCACTCCCTCTCATGATCCCAGCCGTTCTTCTCTCTAATGGGGACAGCAGACTTCCAACAGTATTTAGAAGGCACACACCACAGAGCAGAGGCTCAGCCCACCACCCAGGGTAGCCTCCAAACACCCAGCATGGCCCTTTAGCAGAAAACGCTCTTCTCCTCCCTCTGCCCCTCACCTCGTCCCTCCTTCTCCTTACATTAAAAGGGGCATCCAAGGAGTAGTCAAAGGATAGAATGAGGTCCACAGCCCTCTGGGGTACCAGTGTGAGTGGGAAAGGTGAGTTGATGGCAAAACCTCCATCCACCAGGGACAGGCAGTCCTGCATGGGTGTGAGCTGGTTCGGGAAGGCGTCTAGGTGTGTGTCTGCAAGATGCACAGGACAATCCCAGCTGCTCCTGCTGCCAACCCTTTTTCGTTTTGCAGTTGTAGTCATGCTTTCTCTGTAGACTTCTCTCATTGACTCTGACAGCTCGGGGGTCTCTCATCCCAGCCCTCCCCTCTTTCCTTCTGACTTCCAGCAGAGTCATCAGGGCCTGCCTTCAGTCCTCACGCACTAGGTGATCATAATTCGGGCCCCAAACACTCCCAACAAAAGCAATGGGTCTACCCAGTGAGGGACAAGCAGAAAGGTGGGGGGGGGGACACTCCTGCCTCACCCTACCCAAGAAAACACCAACCTTTCCAGGCCACAAACTCCCTTGCAGCTACATAGTCCTTGTGAAGGCAGAGGCCCTGGGTGAAGTTGAAGGTATGGGCAGAAGTCAGGCGGGAGGTGAATATGTCCAGCACGGCCTGGAAGAGGGGGCCCTGTGGGGTGAAGAGCTTGGTGTGCAGCCGTGTGGGGTCATGAGGCTGGACCTTTGAACAGTCATCTAGAGAAGGCAGGGACAGTGACATACAGTAAGGAGTGGCACCCTCTTTAGTTCAGTGGCCCTTACAGCTCAGGGGAGCCCCTCCAGGCTTCATACCCTCCCCACCCACATCCCAGCCTATTTCACAGCTTCATCCTTTGAAAATGACTTTTTTTGGGGGGGGGGTCTGGTCGTGGGGCCTGAACTCTGGGCCTGGGCACTATCCCTCAGTTTTCAGCTCAAGGCTGGCGCTCTACCACTTGAGCCACATCGCCACTTCTGGCTTTTTTCTTTTTGCTTATGTGGTACTGAGGAATCAAACCCAGGGCCTCAGGCATGCAAAGCAAGCGCTCTATCACTGAGCCACCTTCCCAGCCCGAAAATGACTTTTTTCCTCTTGTGCCTTTGTGTTTTAGAAATCACCTATGTCTTTGCATTTGTTAACCAACTGACCGGCTGTCCTCCTCTTGAAAGTACGTGTGTTGGTAAGTTTGAATCAGAACTCTATGCCATGAACACTAAGGGTCCTGAGCTATGTTGCTGCATGTAGTAGGTATGAGAGGCAGTGCACAGGGCCTGGCCCTGCAGGGCTTGGGGCCCATTGGGTGTGTGAGTGGGTGGAGGGAGGTCATATAAATAGATAAGAATTGGGGAAGGGGGAGGTAGGGGACATCTTTTTTTTTTTTTTTTTTTTTTGAGAAAGGGTTTTACTATGTAGCCCAGGCAAGCCACAGACTTGGCCATCTTCCTGCCTCCCACGTATTGGGATTACAGGGCTGAGCCATGGTAGCAAGCAGGAGATAATAAATCCAGATCCTAAATGGGGATCGTGGTGGGGATGTGCTATAGTCCTAAGGGACCAGTGTGACAATCCCCTCACTCAGACTTAGGAGGAAAGAGTGAAAAAAGATGTTTTCTAAGTGACAGCTGAGTTGAAGGTGTGTGTGCGCGTGCGTGCGTGGTGTTGGAGGTGCTGGGGATGGGATGCAAGGCTTCCCAAATGCCACGTAAGGGCCTAGCAGGAGCCATTCCATCAATCCTCACAGCTGGCACATTTATAGACCTTAATCTAGAGGTCATTTTCTCAGAACTTCTCTGAATCTAATGAGAGAGCCATACCATTCACCATGTCCCCACTCCCCCATTTTCTTCATCCCTCTGCCAGGCACGTGGTGGCAGGGACGGGGTCTTTGCCCTCACCTGTGACATTCACACTATCTTTGTGCCAGTTCAGGAAGCCCAGCCCTGAGCCAGTGGTCTTCAGGAAGATCTCATCCAGGCTGGCTGCGAAGGCGCTGCCCCACATCCCTGACGAGACAGGCAGGGACCCCATGTCAGGCCCCAGCCCCGGCCCAGCTTGTCTTGCAGAACCTCCAGCCTAGACTCACCCTGCAGGTAGCAGATACGGGGCTCAGGCCGGCGCTGCAGCAGCCTTCCCATGAAGAACTCGGAGCCGAAGAGCTCAGTGGGGACATAAGCTCCGTACTTGGGAAAGCCGACCTCATGGGGGGTGAACTCGCACCACTCTGGGGAAGAGGAAGTCACGGGAAGGCTTCCTGCCAGGACACTCATGCCTGAGCAGGATTCTAGTCAAGACAAGACTCCTGACAGCTTCTCACCCACCCTCCCCACCCTCTTCACCCACCCATGCCTCCTTCCTTTGCCTCCACACTCAGGTACCTACCTGCAAAGTCTTTCCCGCTGATGTTGGTGTGAACATTGACAGTGGCATAGATGGGGTAAGGGTTCTGACCCTGGCTGATCGCACCCTGCTGGTCAGACAGCTTGGCAGGGCTCACCTGGGAAGAAGAGAAGCAGCGTGGCCTCTTTAGGGTCTCCATCCCCGTGGCCTGAGGTTCTTATCTTGTGGACAGTGGCATGCCCAGAGCACAAGCTTTTTTGAATTTCCAGGGCCACTGTGAGTTCTCTGTGATTTCAGAGTGTATGGGAACTCCAATCTGCTTCTTTCCCACTCAAGAAAACAGATCAGAATGCAAGTCATCATTCAGTAAATCATCTAAAGTACTTCAAAATGGAGTTGACTTGGACATGAAGGCGTGACACACACCCACAACTGACAGCCACCCCTGGGGGTCAGCTGTGTCCCAGTGGGCAGCTCTGAGCCTTCTTATTCCCACAACCACCTGGGCCTGTGGTTCTAGGAGCCACCACCAGGACTGAATTGGTCAGAGAGTAGGCCCGGCATCCTTGGGCCTCGGTGGCAGGCAGAAACCATTGCAAAGCAAACCAGGGCAGAATCCTAGGAAGCGGGACCCAGGCAAGGGTGGTTTTGAAAAGTTGTGCAGGTTGAGAACTATGGCCTGCTTCTACCTTCCCAGATTAGGAACCTAGAAGGTAAAGTGGGGTGGGTCCACTCTAATGTCTCACCCCTTCCCCTGCGGGGAGCTTACCCTCCAGGGTACAGTTTTACAAGGCTCATATCTTAGCCTGAGGACCAAGGCAGAAAGAGATCAGGGAGGGAGGGGACACAGAAAGGGTAGAGTGTTTTACGTCACGTTCTCTTACCTCCTGGTTGAGGAAATATTCAATGAGGAGGCCCCAGAAGTCAACAAGGGACATGCTGTGGCCGCTGCTCTTCCGGGCTCCCAGCTCCTGAATGTAGTATTGTAGCTGCTCTGTGGACACCGCCCCCAGCTTACTGCTGCAGACCCGAGCCTGGGCATGCTCAATGGGGCCCTGCAAGGCCACGTGGGACCAGGCTGGGTCCTTATAGAGCGTGGAGATGCACCTGGGGGTGAAAGGGGTGGGGGGAAGGCTGTGTAAGTTGGGGGCAGGGGAGCACAGCAGGGAAGGAGATATACAGTCTGTGACTCTCCCTCCCCATGTGCCCCTGATGCCCTGCAGCCCCTCCCCAAGGGCGCCCCCTCCCTCCAGTGGAGCCTCCTGCTCTTCCTAATTTCCTTCCTGAAGGTTCCAGCCCCTCCTCGTGGACTCCATGAGAACACTGGGTCACACCTCTACCCCTACGTGGCTCACTTTTATTCTGTGCCCCACTTACCAGGTGGAGCCGGAGACCCCACTCAGGTAGGTCACCGTGTCCAGGAGGCCGAGCTCCTGTAGCCCTGCGAGGCTGCCATAGAGGGAAGTCATGGCTCGGGTTCCACCCCCAGACCCCAACACGGCCACCACAGGTACCTGGACAATGATGACAATTTACTCATATCACTGGAGTGTTCTATTCCTGCCTACCCATGTTGGGCATCATTATTAAGATCTTACAGAATTAGCCTATCCACTTCTCATAGCACCCAAACTGAGAGAACCCCAGTTTTCAGCTGGTCAGCTTTTCCATGTCAGATGGACTCATTCTGCCTTGATTCTTGGCTCCTTTTCCTGGTTTTTTTCCTCCTGTCTTTTCTTCTCCCTGGCCTCAGTTCACTGAGGGCCCTGTTGTTTCTGCACCGGAGGAGCTGGCAATTGGGCGCCCAGTGGCCACGTATGTTGGTGGATGAGCTATCTAGACGTGTCAGCTTGGTGGCGCCAGGCACAGGCCCCACCCCCTCAGCACACACACAGCCTGAGAGAAGCTACCAGCCTGTTCCTCATTTACCACAGGTCCAGCTCCCAGAGCTCTTTTCCATCTTCCTCCTTCTTCTTTGCCTGAGAGATCCCATGGATCCTCCACCTCCAGATCCCTTTGACCCCTGATGAGCTCCCTTGTGAACCACCAAAACTGATTTGTTGAAGTCCCACCCCTTACCATGACTACATGAGGAGACTGGTCCTATAAAGGTAAAGTGAAGTCAAAGAACAGGGCTCCAATTGGGTGTGACTGGTGTCCTTAAAAGAAGGGGAAGAGGGCTGGACATATGAAGCAGAAGGATCACAAGTTCAAGGCCAGCCTAGGATACAGAGTTAGACCCTCAAAGGAGGAGACAGAAGAGGATAAGATGAGACATACCAGAGAGCTACTCTTTTTCTCTCTGATCCAGCAGCCCAGCCTCCCATCCCCCAAGTCCAGGTGAGAGGCCTTGTCAGAAACCAACTCTGATGGCACCGCGACATTGACCTTCTCGCCTCCAGAACTGTAGGAAAACATTCCTATGGTAGCCCAAGCTGAGTAAGACAGCCAGCCTTGGATACGTTGTTAGGCCCTCCTTCCAGTTCTCCTGATTCCTGATTGGACCCATTGGCCCAGTCCTGCTTAACTTCCTCCTCTGTCCCCTGGACTTCCTGTCACCTCCTAGCCTACAACTCCCCTCAAGGGGGAGGACTGGCTTGGGTCCTAGCGCCTCTGGGGTCCAGCTCCTCCTCAGTCCCATACCTGGTCACGGCGTGGAGCTTCAGTCAATCCAAGCACCTGCTTCACAGCCTGGGACACGACCTGCTTCCTCTTGTCTAGGAACTCCTGCTCCCCATCACAGAGGCCAAAGCCAAGGCGTAGGTCCAGGTCCCCAGAGCTGCCTCAGATGGAGCAGGTGGGCTCTGGGTGACTATTCAGTGCAGAAGAGCCTCAGGCCTCCCCCATGGATCACAGGAGCAGACCCACACTCAGTAACACCCCTCAGAAAGACTCAGGAGACTACACCTGCACCCGAACTGTGGAGGGAAGATGAATGCCATGGAAAGCAGAATGTACTACCCGGTTCCCAAAGGCCTTCTGCCTGAAGTCTCACCTACCTCATTTCAGCCTTCATACTCAGAGTCACCTCCCGGCCCTGAAAGACATGGCAATCCTGAGCACAAATGAGCAGGACTCTCCCAGGAACCCTGTCCCCCACTCTAGCCTTGGTATCCAGTAACTGGCCTATGTGGACAGCATGGTGGAGCTCCCAACTGGCCTGATCTTGTTCCCCTGCCCCGCCCTCCAGGGCTCCCTTGATTGTTACTCAAAAAGCAGGGGTCCCCAGCCTCCAGGCAGAGCCTTACCTCCCCCAGGACCACACAGCGCTCTAACTCTCGTCCTAAGGGCAAAGAAGAGAGCAGGATGTTCCCCTCATCCAGCTGGGCGCTTGGGCTACCCTGTGGACAAGATACCAAGAAGCGATGGACAAGAGAAGAATGTGTGCTTTCCAAAAGCTGCTGCTCCGATGCCATCACCCGACTTTTGCCAAGATTCACTCACCTGCACAATCTCGAGCTCCTCTTCCATCTCCACGTTCAGCCTGGAGCCCAGCACAGGGTTCACATGGAAGGTAAAGGTGGGCAGGCGATCTGGCTCCATGGGCGGCTGCAGGGGCAGGAGCTGTGGCTTCTCATAAGCCCCAGGCACTGCCAGCTGGATCTGCCCGGAGCCTGTTTGCCAAGGGCCCAGAGGAGGAATGGAATCAGGAGAGTCTGTGTGTGTGTGTGTGTGTGTCAGAATGGCCTCATCCTGGACACAACAACCCTTCCTTCTTCTTTTCCCCAACGCTCATCTCCCTGATCACTCTCAGGAAAAGCATCCTGAAAGAATCTGTCTTCCAGGAGGATGTAGGCTCTGTGTCACCTGCCCTGGTCAAAGTGGGACTCTGGGGGAAATGGGAAACACATAAATGCTTAGAGAAGGAGAAGGGTGAAGGAAGGCAAGGAGGGGGAAGCCCTGTTCATAGCCTCTGGCCTGGTGATCTTAAAGTTACTTTATTACCTATATAATATATACTTATATAGACAATGAAGGATCTAGTTATTATTGTATGAATTGCCAGTTTTCAACTGTCCTCATTCCAACTCATTGCTAAAAGGGGGTGGGGGGGGGTCACGGTTATGATCAGAGAGAAACAAGTCACTCAGGCCTCAGTTCCTAGTTGGAAGATCTCAGGAGGATGTAGGGATTGGCTCTCTGGCACTTCTACTGGAGCCTTAAGGCCTTAAGGACGCGTCCAGGCCTGTCTGCTTGTCACAGAGGTGGAGGAAAGACTGGTGGAACAGCCAGCTCCCCATCCCCCACCAAGCCCAGTCTCAGTCAGCTGAGCCCCGCCAACCGCCAGATGTATGAGCTAGGTCCACGCTTCTTGTGTGCCACGGAGGTTTCTGGAGATGCCTGTTCCAGAGCTACAGCTGGGCAGCTACAACCTGTACGCTGTATGCTTGGCCACTTACAGAGAGAGGAAGATCACTGCCTTCAGGGTTCATCTATCCCATCCTCCATCTGTTACGAGCTGTGAGAACTGGAGAACTTCCTGCGCCAGGGCCACGGCAGCAGCCCCGACGTCTCCTTTACAGCCCCCAGGAAGGAGGGTCAGACCCGAGGCTATGCACCAGACTCACCAAACTCTTGATGTGAGGCTGTCCTGTCTGCCTCGAGGGTACCCTGGACTCTCAGACAGGGTTGAGCCTGAGAAAAGTAGATGCTCTGGGATCCAGGGAGCCCCCAGGGACTGGACCAGAATTGGGGAGGGAGGTGTACGGGGCAAGAAAACAGACATTCTAGGGCCTGTATTTTATGGGCAGGGGGCCCTCTGCGGTAGCCCCAAGGTTGTACTATGCCCTCTTCCCAGGACTCAGGGGAATGGGGCTCGGGGAAATGCAGGAAAGGGTCTTCATGTTCTTCATCTTCCTCGTGTGCCTCCCCTCTGAGGAGGGTTTAAGTGTCCTTCAGAGACAAGCAGGCACCCTGGGCCCCGCCTGCCCCCCTTCCCCGGTCAGCCCAAGCCCACCTTCCCAACTCACCACCAGGACTCCATTGGTGATGACCTCAGAGGCAGGCGCCTGGCTGCAAGAGATGAGGCACGTGTGAGCTATCCGGCTCCGTTGCAGGACAACAACAGTGTGACCCAAGCCATTGAAAGAGCCTGGAAGCATGGTAGGGTTTGGGGTTTGTTTTTTTTTGAGGGGGGAGGGAGGACCAGTACAATATGCAAATGGGTGTGTGACACAGATTGCTCCCTCTGCAAGGCCAGCACAGGCCACGATGACCGGCAGCGAGGAGGAAATGGTGGGCGCACTGGGCTCTGCCAGGACTTACCTCTTCTCCAGAATAAATTCCACCTGCAGCTCTTGTGAATCCTACATGGGGGGAGCAGAGGACACCAGTTTGATTGCTTTTTTTTTTTTTTTAAGGCTCCTATTTTGAAATGGGACTGTCCTTGCTCATCTGCTGGGACTGAGAGAGGAGGCTGTTGTGGCTTCTCATGAGCACAGAAAGACTCCACACTGAGCATCACTCATTCAGAGGTATGTGCTAGATAGTAAGGATGCAGTGGCCACTGAGGCAGACAAAAGAGCATGCTCTCAAGGAGGTGGATCTTGGCAATGTCGGTTGTGGGGCTTGAACTCTGGGCCTGAGTGCTGTTCCTGAGCTTTTCAGCTCAAGGCAAGTGCTCTACCACTTGAGCTACAGCATCACTTTCAGTTTTCTGGTGGCTAATTGGAGATAAGAGTCTCTTGGACTTTTCCTGCGCAGGTGGGCTTTGGACCATGATCCTCAGATCTCAGCCTCCTGAGTAGCTAGGCTTACAGGCATGCCCCACTGGTGCCCAGCTCTTGGCAGTATTCGAGGGGGTGACACGGGGTCAGGGCTGCAAAGTGGAGGCTTGGTCTGTGCTGATGGGGTCCCCCTCCCTTCAGTCAATGGTCCTGGGGGACCTGGAGGACCTCTCCACTGGAGCTTGGCTAGCTGATGATGCACACAGGGCTCACCTGCTGGTTGAGTGGGAAGGTGTGTCGATAGGGCTGGCCTGGCTGGAGATTGCTCAGGTCAAACAGGAGCACAGAGAGTGGGTTGCTGCTCAGGATGTTCTCATCACCAAGGGTGAGCTCCAGGACATTCTGGAAACAGGGCATGCCGAGGTCAGTACCCTGGGGGAACGCCTTGCTCTTCATGGCCCTCCCCCTCACTGGCACCTACCTTCACAGCCCCATGGATCTGGTAGTAGAAGGTCTCATTCCATTCAGGGTCACCGCAGTTCAACACGGTTTTGGTCCGGGCAAAGCTGGTGGATGCCGTGGGCAGCCATAGTTGCACATAGCAGTCAGCTTCAGACACTGCAAGGAAAATGGAAGAGAGGGTCCTCAGCCTTCACTGCAGGAATGCTTTTCTGGGGGAGACTGGGCATAGGGCTGGGGAGAGGAGGCTGCCTGGTATGGTGGGAAGAGGGAGATCTTTGGAGTCCTTGGCTCCATGTTGATCAGGTATACTTCCCATTCAAATGACCTATCATGGCCTGTTGAAAAGATCACTCAGGGGGGAGGGGGGAGGCTGGGAAGGGAGGTGAAGGGTAAACAAAGGAGGAGGCTGCAATGCTTGGTAAGAAATGTATGCATTATCCTGCCCATGTAATTGTTACCCCTCTGTTCAGTATGTTCTCAAATAAAATAAAGTTTAAAAAAAAAAAAAAAGATCACTCAGCAACACAGACTGTTGTATAATTCCCCGAGACCGCCTGATTCAAGCAACATGCTCACACACGCATTCATGTGCGTGAACACACACGTGCACAGATGCATACATAGCACCCCCATGGGCATGCACATAAAGGCATATGCAAACATACACGCACACATGCGTACTTGAGCTCTAAGCGGCCCTAGGGATAGGAAAGGAGAAGGCAGGGTGGAGGGTCACTCACACAGGTCTGTGCCCTTGATGTTCTTGGCCCTCAGCACCTTCACCTGAAGGTCATAGTATGGATGGGTTTCCCGCTGAAACAAGAGAACTCCAGGAACTCAGTTCTAGGAAGCTGGGGTGGTTTCTAGCTCCTGTCCCATCAGCCTGGCCTAGAATTACTGATGCCACCGTGTCAGTTCTGTACCGGGGAGGCCTTTGTAGAATGAACCCAGGCCTCGGGAGGTTCGGCATTGGTGATGAACCTGGGTTCAAATCCAAGCTCCACTATGAAATGGCTGAACTGAGTATGGTTATGAGCCGAAGCCTGAAGCTCTCTGAGATGCCAGTGTTTAAGGGCATTAAATATTAAAAGAGAAAGGTGTGATCCACCACCCCATTAGCTCCCTTACCAAGGCTGGAAGACAGATTAGGAGGCAGTGGGTAGATGAAGCCCTGAGTCACCTGGCTTGTGTGGTCTAAGCCAAGAGTGCAGCTTGGGTTCAGGGTACGTTACATCAGACAGCAGCTTGCTGGCAGGGAAGCTGCCAGCTGATGGTCCCACAAACTCCCCTCCCTTCCTCAAAAGCAACCCCTTGGCTATGGGGTTCTATAGCCAAGCCTCACTAGTGGCAAAACCAACCAGTCAAATGCCAATGTCAGATGCCAAAACTCACCCTCCATTTTCTACTAGGAGATTATTTTTCAAAAGCCAAGGCTTTGGCTGCTATCTCCAACTGAAGAGGCAATCGGTCCCACCAAATCTACACCCAATGCAGGGGCTAACCTAGTCTTCAAAGGGCACCTTGGCCTCCAGAACTGTCCAGTTCACACTGTTCGGGTAAGACCAGTACATTACCTGCCAGTGTCTCCGCTTCAGTCCCCTCTTCTCTCTCTTCCCCAGAAGCACTGCCCCCAGGAGAGGCAGCCCCTTGCCCATCAGCCATCTTGACCAGAGGTCCCAGAGCATGGCCAGTAGCCTAGTGCCCAGCAGGGAGCCTGCCTGCTCTCCAGAGCCACTTGCTCTGCAGCTCAGGTCTGACAGGTAACACTGGAGTGGGGAGGGTGGAGCAGCCACTGTGCTAAGTAAGACTTGGGGCTGAGTGGCCCTGGCTGGAGGTGGAGTTTAAGGAGCTCCAGGAAGTGACCGGAGTTTGCTCTCCTCAGACAAGAGGCAGTCAGAGCTTCAGGAAACTCTTGGAAGTCTCTGATTAGTACTCTTTCTCCAACCCAGCCCCTGTGATCACTGAGCTAGGTGTGAGAGATAAACATCTGAGCCTCGTGGGTTCAGGGGAGCCCAGGTACTCCTAATTTCCAACCAGAACTGACACAGTCTGCTCCTTTAACAACATCCATGAAGCACAGCCTGAGCTAGCCTCCTCCAGCTGCTAGCCTGAAACCAGCCACTCTTCAAATCCCACCTTCCTTACAGCTTAAGCAGAAGCAAGGACACCTCTGGTTCCATGTTTCATCTGGACACAAAGATGTTTCACATCTCTCTTGGCCTCAGTCATTCCTGAAACACCACAAGTCTGTTGCATGCCAGACCCTTACTATGCACAGGAACTAAAAGGTGAGGAGGAGCCAGATGCTGGAGGCTTGTGCCTGTAACCTTAGCTACTCAGGAGGCTGAGATCTGAGCTTCACAGTCCAGGCAGAAAAGTCCCTGTGGGACTCATCTCCAATTAACCACTCAAAAACACAAGTGGTACTGGTACTGTGGCTCAAAGTGGTAGAGCGCTAGCCATGAGCACAAAGAGGCTCAGGGACAGTGGGCCAGGCCCTGTGTTCAAACCCCATAACTGACCACTACCCCTCCCCCCCGCACACGTGCACACACACACACACACACACACACACACACACACACACACACACACACACAAAACCCTAAAAAGTGAGGATGCTCAGTGTCATGACCTCCTGTGGCTTCTGGCACAGCTCTCCTTCCCTAGTCAGGGGAAATACCTGGGTGGTTCAGGTACAGAGGCAGGGCTACCGTCAGGTGGTATAAAGCAGGGCAGGCAGGAAGTAGGCTATTAAAGATAAAGGCTTGGAGTCTTCGCCACTGTAAGCCTCAGGATACAGATGTGATGTCTCTTTGAGGATGGTGATCTAGGTGGCTGAGGAAGAAGTCTCTAAGAAAAGATTTCTAGGGCAGTGAACTGTTAGGAGATATATTTCTTTTCTTTAGCTAAGATCCAGTCACACAGTGACGGCGCTGTGATACATGAGTGCAGTCTCAGCACCCAGGAAGCAGAGGTGTACCAGATCAGCCTGGACAACACAATGAGATGCCATCTCAAACAAGCAAACACATGATCACATCAACTCCACTACAGAGGCAGAAAGAACATCATCCAAAAAGGTGATGCAATTCTAAAATGGAATGGGGCAAGTTCAGACCAGAAACTGCCAGAACCAAATGGGATGTGATGATTACGTGGCCAAGCCTAGGAGTGAGGGTAGGAGGCACCTGTTTCCGCTTCATTTGGATGGTGATGCCAAGAGCCGGGGATGAGGGAGGGAGACTCAGAAACAGCCAAGTGCTTCATGATCTCCGTGGGTAATGTGGAGGGTGCACTTGGAACCACAGCAGCCTAATTGCCCAGAGCGGGCTGATGGCTGAGCCAGCCTAGAAGCCAGGCTCCTGACTGACCTGGGTCCTTTCTGAGATATATCACACTCTCTCTAGAAGTGATCTACTCCATGTCTCAAAAAAGTCAGCACAGCCGGGTGCCAGTGGCTCATGCCTGTAATCCTAGCTATTCAGGAGACTGAGATCTGAGGATCACAGTTCAAAGCCAGCCCAGGCCAAAAGTCCCTGAGACTGGCCTCCAAATAAACCGCTCAGAAAACTGGAAGTGGCACTGTGGCTCAAGTGGTAGAGTGCTCGCCTTGAGCTGAAGAGCGGAGGGACAGCACCCAGGCCCAGAGTGCAAGCCCCACGACCGCCAAAAAAATAAAGTCATCACTCACAACTTGAGATGGTTTTCATTACCTTCAGGATGAACTCAGGATGGCTAGACAGCTCAGGAAGTAGACAACACAGAGGAGCCAAGTCTTATTGGAGCTGGACCAAGTGGCCAGCTAATACTTCTCTATGCTTCTCAAACAACTCCATCCCTGACTCCTACCAATTCCATGTCCATAACCCACCCTTCCGGCCACAGTGAGCTGCAGGAAGAGCCACACTGTCCTGGGTACATGAAGTGAAGGCTATTTGGCCTATCTGGTGTTCTGGAGTAGCCACGGCTGTGACAATGGCAATGTTCTGTTAGCATCTGTGCAGCATCTGTTAGCATCTATTTGCCCACCGTCACGCTGGCCCCACTGATCAAGACATTCCTAAGACAAGTGTTACTCTGTTTTCAAAACCAGTCACCAACTACTTTATTCCTTTGTTTTTAGCTAAATCACTATCCTTTCATGATCATTTTCAATGGGGTCCATAAAAGGGGGGGAAAAAAAGAGACCCAAGGAGGCTTGGTTTCCTGCTTGGTTATGTTTATTATGAGCAGTTAAGACATCCCCATTAGTCCTCAGAACAGAGCTTTCCTTTCCAGTCTTCTCCATACTTCGATGGAATACAGAGAAGGAAGAACAGTTTGAGGAAAGGGATCGTGTATGTAAGACCACACAGGAGAAAATACTCTTTATTCCGCTGCTTCAGAGTTCATGAGGTTGGAAGGTACAAGCAGAGCAGTCTGGGAAGGCAGGGCTCACACGGCAGGGCAGTTCCTGCAGTGGAGGGCTGGCCGGATGCCCAGTGCTGTTCAGCAGGGCAGCGCCACTTCTTGAGAAAAGCTGTGGCTAGTTGGGACAGTGGCTTCTTTCTCCATGGGTTGCCGGGCTCGCAGACCGGAGGAGCCCCCGTGTTTGTGAATGGCGCCAGTAGCATTCACTTGGTCTCTTTGGAGAGCATGTCTATGAGGAGTCTCGTTTAATCATTACCAGCCAATCAGATTACAACACAGGACCCAGCCCAATGCTGAAGGACCACCGTATGTCAAGGCTAGGCCACTGCATTATCTGCACACTCCTCCAACCCTGCCACACAAAGCCAGGGAGTGATCATGCCTAGCAGGAAGGCAAGAGGATGGGAAGTGGCTGGAAAAGAGAAAGGTGCCTAAAGAACAAATGATTTGCTGTAAGTAGCTGGTGAGTGAGGCAGGAGCAAGTAAGTGCCTCTTGGGGCCCCGCCCAGGGGACCACAGACCCCATGCAATGAGGCACTCTCCCTAACGCCTACACTGACAGCTCTGGATGAAGAAGAGCTACTTACACCATAGCTGACCACTGACCATCCGTGTGCTCCTAGAAAGCAGACTTCCTCTTGCTTTTCTGTACTCATTTGAATGTTAGCCATCCCCAATGTCCAGGGCCCAGTTGGCACATTGAAGGGAGATATGGGGTAAAATAAATAGAGAGAAAAGAGGTTGAAAACCAAAGAGCTAAGCAGGGCGATGACTGGGGACACCGTGGAGAAGTCAGAGCCGTTCAGTCTGTCGCTGGAGTAGTTCTGGTACTGTCTTCCTGTGGGATCCTCAGGCAGCCACTTGGAGAGGTCTTCACAAATCTGTGCACTTGACTTAACAGAAAACTCCCGATAAGCAACCCAGTGAGACAAGTCTCCTTTTTTAGGTGACTGGTATACAAAGGCAAGCTGGTGTACTTCATCCTGTCCTAGAAGGTGTTAAAATTCCCTGGAACTGCCTGCAACGTAATGGTGTAAAATATGACTAATCTCATTTCCTATTAAAGAGTTGGCAAGGCCAGACCATGAGTCTGATTAATTCAGAGATGTTCCAGGGCACAATGTAGACAGACGTGTCCAAGCGGGAGACACCTGGTGGTGTCAGCCTCACACTCCCAAGGCCGGCTGTTCCTTCACCTTTCTGGGATAGCCGAGCTGTCCAGTGCTGAGTGATGGGCTGCTGGGCTCAGGTGTCAGCTGGGTTTACCTCTTTGGAACAGAAGTAGTGTACGACCACACCATTGGGGTATCTTGCAAACGCACTGCAGGGAAGGAGAACAGCTCAGGGGGAGGAAAGCTTCTGACACAATTCTTCTCCAGCACCTGTAACAGGCCCTTTCTCCAGAAGCCACCCCAAAGCAGACAACCAAACCCCAAAGAACATCCTGCCAAAGGTTTCTGCATTGCCAGTGCCACCCTCACTAAGAAAGAACCAGAAAAAGGATGGATTTCACAGACTTCAAGTGCATGGGGACATTTCCAATTAACTGCTATCCAGCTATAGCAGGAAGTATAAAATAGGTGGACCATGTTCCAGGTATGGTCCTGGACAAAGAGTGAGAACATATCTCAAAAACAATCATTGTTGCCAGGTGCCGGTGGCTCAAGTCCATAATCCTAGCTATTGAGGAGGCTGAGATCTGAGGATCGCAGTTCAAAGCCAGCCTGGGCAGGAAAGTTTGTGAAACTCTTATCTTCAATAAACCACACACACACAAAAAAACAACCACAAGTGGCACTGTGGCTTAAGTGGTAGAATGCTCACCTTGAGTTGAAAAGCTCAGGGATAGCACCCAGACCTAGAGTTCAAGCCCTATGACCAAAAAGAAAACAAAAAAAAAAAACACCCACCAATAAAAATAAACAACCAGTGTTAAATGGAGCTGGAAGTATGGCTCAGCAGTAGAGTGCTTGCCCTGCAAGTTGTACATCTGACTTCAACTCCTAGTACTGCAAAAAAAATATTTTTTTTAAAATAAAGGATTAGGGGCTGGGAGGGTGGCTCAGTGGTAGAGCACTTGTCTTGCATGCTCAAGGCCCTGGGTTTGATTCCTCAGCACCACATAAGAAAAAAGCTGGAAGTGGTGCTGTGGCTCAAGTGGTAGAGTGCTAGCCTTGAGCTGAAGAGCTGAGGGACAGCGCCCAGGCCCAGAGTTCAGGCCCCACGACCGGACCCCCCCCCCCAAAAAAAAAAAAAATACTGCAAGGCTGGAGGTATAGTCAGTGGTAGAGCACCTGCTTACTGCCTACAGCTCAGATCTGGCTCATCAGAACCAGTTTCAGGCTAGTCTAACAAATGTCAGTGAGCTGGCTCGTCCTAAAGAAAAGCATGCTTCCAACTATGTAAGGAAAGGATACTGACTATAGAATGTGTCTTAATGTAGTATGTCACTGGCTCAAGAGTTTGTGTTACGGTGCTCCAAGTTCAAAGTTCTTTTTTCTACCTTCAGAAGTGCACCCTTCAGAGGCTTGGCAAAAGGGCACTTCTCAAAAAGAAAACTAAACTACTGGGTGCTGGTAGCCCACACCTGTAATCCTAGCTACTCAGGAGGCTGAGATCTGAGGATGGCGGTTCAAAGGCAGCCCAGGCAGAAAAGTCCCAGTGAGACTCTGATATCCAATTAACCATTCAAAGGCAGGAAGTGGCACTGTGGCTCAAGTGGTAAGAGAGCTAGCCTTGAACATAAACAATCTCAGGGACAGCAGCCAGGCCCTGAGTTCAAATCCTACAACTGACCAAAAAAACACCCCCAAACCCTAAACTAAGAATGTATCCTATAAAATAATCCCAAACACATTTCAAATGCTATTTGGTGGCACATGCCTGCAAATCCCAGCACCCAGGTAAGAATTCAATTTCTAGTGTTTAAACTCTGATAGTATGGCCTTCTCTTTCAACACTCAAGTCCAGGGAGTCAGGACAACCAGTAGCTGTGCTTGCTTCCTTCATTAGAGGGTAGAACTCCATTCTAAGCACTCCCTACCTGCAGGGGATCTCTATCCAAGTCTGAGTGCTGCTCAGAGTGGAAGCTCACCTGTTCCCAATCTTCTTCTTACACACAGTGCACACTTTCTCCTCTGTGATAATGCATTTCACCTGCTGGTGTAAAATCCGCTCTTCCTGGACCTGGGAGAGATTAGGGGAGAAGTTCTGTGTCCGGTGCACAGACACAGCAGGCAGAGGAAGGCATTACTTCACTCCCAGCCTCCAGAGATTCTCCTTGTTGAAACACTTGCAACACAATGTCAGGCTCATGTTGGATCAGCTTAAGCTGCACTGTACAAGGTACACACGGTTGCTCCTCAGAAGGAATGAACCGTAAGGAAATGGTCTCATACTAAAAACCAAAGCCCACCCTAGAATCTGGAAGGCTCATACCCTCAGGAACTCAGCGTGGAGAAGGTTCTTGAGAACTTGATTGAACCGTTTCTTTTGTGCATTTTCTTCCAAGACCTTTTCCAGAAAGATGCGTATGTCATTGATCTGAGTGTTTGCTGGCAGAAGGTTGATGGCCTGGGAACAGGAAAAGAGAGATTACAGACAGAGGCAGACCAAGTGTGAGAAAGAGTAAAGACCTGAGGCCAAGAGCTCTTAGGCCATGGAACCTTTCCCCCATTCCTCTTCTCCCTTGTGCCCCACCTCCCAGGGGAGGACTGCTGACCTTGGTGGTGTCCAGTTTGCTGTGGTGCAGCTCCAGCACCTGCAGGGCAGCCTGGAGGTTTGCCTGAGGCACTAGCAGCTCCAGCTTGATTGGCCCTAGGCAGTGAATGCTTGGGGGTGACAGGTACATCCGAAGCAGGGACAGATACACCTGTCTCATAGATAAAAGTCACATCCATCAGGCAGACAGAGCCCTCCCAGAAACCCCCAGCACTGGGCAGTCCTAGAGGTTAGAGAACAGCTCTCCCCATGTATGTGAAACTCGCCATTTTTACCTTTTTGAAATTTTGTGAAGTCAAATGGCCAAATGATGCAAATGCCACATTTATATCATTTACAAATTGTTAACACCCCGACATAACTGAAAAAGGATCTCTCATTTTCTTTGGCTTTGAAAGCTGAGCCTCTGGCCACATTTTAGCAGGTACAAATAAACCCAAGATAGGATGCCAGGGGCTCGGAATGTGGCTTGGTGGTAGAGTGCTTGCCTAGCATGCATGAAGCCCGGGGTTTGATTCCTCAGTACCACAAAAACAGGCAAAGCCAGAAGTGGTGCTGTGGCTCAAGCAGTAGAGTGCTAGCCTTAAGCAAAAGAAACTCGGGGACAGTGACCAGGCCCTGAGTTCAAGCCCCATGACTGGCCCAAAAAAAAAAGGATGCCACATTTCTTTCTTCTTTTTTTAAATGTCAGTATTGGGGCTTGAACTCTGGGCATCTCTTGCTTGGCTATTTCACTCATGGCTGGCTCTCAGCCACGTGAGCCACGTCCACTTCTGTCAGAGTCTCTTAGATTAGTCTGCCTGGGCTGGCTTTGAATTGTGATTTTCAAACTTCAGCTTCCTCAGTAGCTAAGATTATAGATGGGAGCTACCAGCACCCAGCTTACATTTCCTTCTAGTGCTATGGGATTTCTCCACTCAGCAATCTCAACTTTGGGGGCTTGATGATCATTTGTAGTTGGGACTGTCCTATGCATCATTCAGTAGCCTCTCTGGCCTCTATCCCTAGATTCAAGTAGTATCCTACTTCTCTACAAATCATACACACCACAAGTTCCTTCTTAAGAGCTGGGCCACATAAAGTTAATATATGAATCAGAATTCTTTTTTTTTTTTTTTTGGGTCCGGTAGTGGGGTCTGAACTCTGGGCCTGAGCACTGTCCCTCAGCTCTTCAGCTCAAGGCTAGCGCTCTACCACTTGAGCCACAGCACCACTTCCGGCTTTTTTCTTTTTGCTTATGTGGTGCTGAGGAATCGAACCCAGGGCCTCAGGCATGCAAGGCAAGCACTCTACCACTGAGCCACCTTCCCAGCCCTGAATCAGAATTCTTGAGAAAGCCGTAAGTGCTATTAATAATCATATGGCTGATAACTGATCCAAGAACTATCCCAAACTACAACCTATGGTCACCCTGCCTCTCCCTCAATGAACACATGCAAAAGCCACCTCATGCCCTATTTTACTGAGCAATTGCACCAGTGGCACTGAGGTCACACTGGAAGGGGTAAAGACTACCAAAGGGGGGCTGGGAAGGTGGCTCAGTGGTAGAGCGCTTGCCTCGCAGGCATGAGGCCCTGGGTTCGATTTCTCAGCACCACATAAGCAGAAAAAGCCAGAAGTGTTGCTGTGGCTCAAGCAGTAGAGGGCTAGCCTTGAGCTGAAGAGCTGAGGGACAGTGCCCAGGCCCAGAGTTCAAGCCCCATGACTGACCAAAAAAAAAAAAAAGAGGGGAGAGGGGGGAGGCTGGGAAGGGATGTGAAGGGTAAACAAAGGAGGAGGCTGCAATGCTTGGTAAGAAATGTACGCAGTATCCTGCCCATGTAACTGTAACTCCTCTGTACAGTATGTTCACAAATAAAATTAAATTAAATTTAAAAAAAAAAAAAAAAGATTATCAAAGGGGCAGGAAATGTACACATGCTCCTTGGGCTACCACTACTTACATCTTTGTTGCCATCTTTGCTTTGGTCGTAGTGTTTGTGACAGTACCTGCAAGGGAGAAAGTGGTCAGAGCAGGCAGGAGAACTATATTCAGGTGCTGGGACATCCCTATGACCTACCCAAGCCTACGACAGCTAAAACCAGGGGGCAGCGTGGGAGGGGACTCATGCTCCTGTAGAGGAAGGTGAGGGTGAACTTGGCCTCTCCGGCTGTGTAGGAGGTGGAAGGACAGGTAGACTTACTCCTCAGCCATCTTGGTATCCTTCAAGACGTGGACATAGATGAAGAGAGCTTGCTCGTGTTTCCCCATGCGCCCCAGCAGGAGAGCGCGTTCTTCTAAGAGGCCTAGAAGGAGAAAAGGGACATAAGCATTGTCACCACTGCTATGCAAGGATAAGAGCAGGGACTTCTCTGTTGGTGGTGGTGGGGTCTGCAGGAGTCGGGGAGGGTACATAGAAAGGGGGAATGAGGGTGAGTATGGCCAAAGAACAATGAAACCTTTAGGAATTCTTTCATAAATGTGGGGAGGGATGATAAGGAACAGAGGTGTAGGAGAGGTGAGGTTGATGGGGTATGTTGTGTGCACGTATGGAAATGTCACAATGAAATCCACCCTTATACATGTATGATGATAAAAAAATCTTTAAAGTGGATTAAAAAAGAATAATTTGTCACTTGCAGGGAAATGGATGGTCAAATGGCACGTGTTTTCTGTCATATGTGGAAGCTAGATCTAAAATACACAGAGCTATGATATACAGGACTCTAGGCATTCACACACAGTGAGATCAAAGGAGGAACACAAAAGTGCAATGCCTAAGCTGGGCGCTGGTGGCTCACGCCTGTAATCCTAGCTCCTCAGGATGCTGAGATCAAAGCCGGCCTGGGCAGGAAAGTCTGTGAGACTCTTATCTCCAATAAATCACTAGAAAACCAGAAGTGGTGCTGTGGCTCAAGTGGTAGAGCTCTCACCTTGAGTTGAAGAGCAAGGGACAGCGCCCAAGCCCACAGTTGAAGCCCCACGACCGACCAAAAAAAAAAAAAAAGTGCAATGCCTATGAGCATCTGATCATATGAAATAATATTTATCGAAATGAACACTCCAGAAAATGAAAACAAAATCTAAGACAAAAATAGTTGAGGTGAGAACATACAATAGCCACATACAGAAGAATGCCCTTGCCAAGCCAGGCACTACAGGGGAGATAAGCAAACAGCTGGTCTCAGCACTCACAGCTTACACATCAGACAAATTTGTCTCTTTCAGATAAACTGTGCCAGACTACAGAAAGTGCTGAGCAAGGAACCTGGCCAAGAGCATGTTCCAAAGCAGTGATAGGTTACAACCTGACTATCCTATCAGTTAGCAGTGGTTCCTACCCAGAAAGACTGCTCTTAGTCATGGTGTGGAAGTGACTCCCCAGAGGGCACAAGGCAGGAGCACCAGGCCCACTGTCTTCCCAGGCCCACGGCTGTGGGAACGGTGAAAAGGCAAAGGCACTTTTGTACTACGCTGGAGTGGCTTGGATCCCGAGCCAGACACTCACCATCAAAAGGGAAATCACAGATGAGCCGGCCTGGATCGTAGTAGCTGGAAATCTCCAAGAACATGAGCAGCTTCTGCCGGTATTCTCCCAGCTCACCCACTTCTTCTCCGGCAGGAACGGGGGTTTTGCCTTTCAAGGAAACCAAGCTTAATGTGAAAGAATGTTGTGGTGAAGCCATGTGGGGGTCATAAGAAAAGTCTGGGGAATGGGTCAGTGATGTCACCCCCCCGACTAGAAAGATCTCCACAGTGGTTTGTTTCCAAGTGTTCTTTTACTTTATGATCTCCAAATAATGTAAGAAGTTTAAGGAAAGCAGGCCAAGTAGAGAAACCCTAGCAGGCCAATCAGTTGCTCAGCAGCACAGCTGTCATCTTGCAGACAGATGGGTTCCTTCTGTCCTCCTCCAGGGAGGATCTCAGACATGTGCAGATCCTGATACGGGCTCATGAGTCTCCCATGGCAGGCCTTGGTCACTCAGTGCCCCCGGGCAGAGAACAGTGTGGCCTGCCTTTCAGTGGGAGCTGGTACCTGCGGGGAAGGACAGGAGGTACTCCTTCATCAGACACTGCACCTTCTCACAGTACAGCTGGATCAGGCAGTTGTGGAACCGCGAGCCTGTCTCCTCCCAAACGTGGATGATGTGCTCCTACGGTGAGATGGAGGCCTATCTGGTTAGTATCCTCCACCTAGGTACCTGGCCTCTTACTCTACTTTGTATTTTTAAAGCCCAACAGGTCCCAACCAGATATCCCTAGGAACAACTCTTCTGGTTTTGGCTTTTGTGTCAGCAGGGTCTCTGGAGGCAGCCCAGGCTGGCCTGGAACTCATGGTGCTCCTAAATTCTAGGATGACGAGCAAGTGCCACCACCCCCAGCAAGCAACAGCTCTTCTAAAACCACCGGGAAATGTCACAATGCACCCAGCAATGTCAGGAAGTGATTTTTTTTCCCCCATTTCCAACCTAAATTCTTTTTTCTAATTTTATCCTAGAATCCTTAAGTCTTATACTGGCCCATGTAATTAGGTTAATTGTTTGCATTCTGGTATGTAAAACTTGATTTTCCTGTGTTTGACTGCATAATGGATCTGACTCCCCCGAGCCCCCAAATCATTGTTCTTTTATTCTCTATACTCAGACAGCATCATCAGCAATAGCATTTCTAGCTTGGTCTCCTTCTTCAAAGAAAACTGAATTAACTTTATATACATTTTCACCAAACCCCAAGTGATATGAACCGCTGAAGTCCGAGCTGCCTGACAACTGCATCATATAGTCCTGAAGGCCAAAAAATACCTTACCAGATAAGGAATAGCCAGACCCTTGAAATTCTCTATTAAGAAGTCCAGCACTTGATCTCGTGGTAGAGATTCCACCTCCGGGAGATCTTCGGTAAATATCTGTTGGAACAAACCTGACTTCTAGCAGCAGAATCAAATGACTGAAGTTCCACCAAATGGGCATGCATGCCAAGTGGTAGGCCACTTCTGAAGAGGCAAGGTGTACAAGGAGGCACCAGTAACTCCTGGCTGTGTGGCAGACCATGCTGCGGGGCTCTTTGTGGCACGCGCACAGTGCGCCCCACTTTGCCTCCTTCCCCTGCTGTCTCTCCAGCTACGTCACACCTCCGAGGAGCTCCATTATCTACCTTTAGGCCGTCTTCTGGGAAGTCTCTCAGCACCCACATAGAGTAGGAAAAAATCAAAAGCAGGTTTTCTGTGCCTATAGGGGAAAAAAAAGACTTGTCAAAGGTTTGTTCAGGACAGGTGTGTAACTGGCCTCAGAATTCATCTGTGGACAACATGGCTGTTCATGCACCTGCCATTCAGAGTCCACATGGCTTTGCCAAACTGGTCACATGCCTGTTGGCTGTCATAGTTTGGCCATGAAGGTCTCAGTGGCAAAGTCGAAGAACACCAGGTAGGGAGGGGAGGAGGGAATGACGGAGGAGGGAAGGAATTGACTACCCAGACTCAGAAAGGGTGGGAGGCCAGGTCCAGGTGGTGGAGCTGTCTCCCGCTGTGCTCAAAAGGTGGGCTCACCCAGGTGCTGCAGATACTGCACTGTCCTCTCGTGGCCTTTCAGCGGGGAGTTTGCTTTCTTGGACTGGTCCACCAGCACCTGCAGAGCTGGCCACAGAGCCCGAGAACAAGGTCATGAGCCTCTTCACCATGAGAGACACCGCATCCCGTCCCCGGACGCCAGCCCTCCTCCCATCACCTTTCTCGTGGAGCCCCTTCTTCTCGTACAGGATGATCAGCTCGCTGTACTTGTGGGCCTTCTTCAGCACATGCTCGCTCTCCTCAATGTGGCAGTGATTGTTCTCCAGGCGCAGCAAGGGGGCCACCAGGGCCACATTGGTCTGGGGGAGGGGCACAGAACCTCAGTGGAAGCTGCTTGCGGGGAGGCTCCCCCTTCCCTAGCCCCTCACCTCCCTGGCTGAAAGGCCAGTGATGTAACATGGGGGCTTTAAAAGCACTTAGGTCTTTTGGTACAATGTGTCTCAATTGTGTGTGTGTGTGTGTGTGTGTGTGTGTGTGTGTGTGTGTGTGTGTGTGTGTGTGTGTGTGTGTGTGTGTGTGTGTGTGTGTGTGTGTGTGTGTGTGTGTGTGTGTGTGTGTGTCTGGGTGTGGGGGGGAGACACTTTCTTTGAGGAATTACAGTACTAACCACAATCTTAGCAGGGAAGAGCAGTCAGTTGTAAGATTCTGGATGAATATCTTACCCTATCCTCCTAACTCCACAGACTCAGCTGCATGGGCCAAGGGGAGGTCCCCCTTGTTCTTACCAGTGGCAGGTCCCCCCTAGTATAGAGCTCCCTTGCCAGTCCCCAGGACAAAGGGACCAGAGTGTTGAGACCACTCACGTGGAGGTAGCACTTGAGCAGGGTGGTGTCAATGATCTGCAGCAGCTTCTTCTTGGATTTGATGGTGGGAGTGCCTTCCATGAGCGGGGAGGTGCTGGACTGGTGATCAGAGTCATTCAGCTTCTTTACCAACTGACTTCGTTTCTGCGAGGGCCAAAAATGAGGGAGTGGTCCTGGCCAGCATTAAGTCTTCCTTCATCACCTGAGCCACTGGGTAACTCAGTACCTTGACATCAGCTCAAGCATCTCACACTGGCATTCAGTTTTTATCAGAGACCAAAATTGATGACTGCCAAACTGCCACAGATTAACGACAATTATCTGTTGTTTCATTTTGTCTTTTCAATGTTAAGGGTTGAATCCAAGGTCTTACTTACTCCCAGCTTTCTATTTGTTTTTGAAGTTAGCTTTTGCCTATTTTCAAACTCCATATACCTGGACATGAGAGCTATAATCCCAGCAACTTGGGAGGCTGAGATAGGAAGATTCTGAGTTTCAGGCCAGCTTGGATAATATAGATACCCAGTCTGAACAACTAAAAATTTTCTGTGTGACAGTGGCTCATCCTAGCTACTCAGGAGGCTGAGATTTGAGGATCATGCCTCAAAGCCAGCCTGGGCAGGAAAGTCCGTGAAATGCTTATCTTCGATTAACTACCAAAAAGTCAAAAGTGGAGCTGTGACTCAAGTGGCAGAGTGCTATAGCACTGAGCACAAAGCTCAGTGACAGTGCCCAGGTCATGAGTTCAAGCCCCAAGACTGGCACACAAAAAATAAATTAATTAAATCTTTTAATTGGTCATGGGGCTTGAACTCTAGGCCTGGGCGCTGTCCCTCAGCTCTTCAGCTCAAGGTTAGTGCCACCACTTTAGCCACAATGCCACTTCTAGTTTTCTGGTGGTTTATTGGCAATAAGAGTCTCACTGACTCTCTTTCCCCAGACTGGCTTTGAACCATGATCCTCAGATCTCAGCCTCCGGAGCAGCTAGGATTATAGGCGTGAGCAACTGATGCCCAGATAATTAAATCTTTGAGTGGAATCATCCAGTTTGCATTCTTTTGTCTTTGCATTCTCTGGTCTTGTATGCTTTTATATCTCTCTAGCCCAGTTAAGTTCATGCATTCCCAATGTCAGTGAAGGGCAGGAAGAAACTATGCTCAGATACTTAAAGCAAATAGTGGGAAATATTCTAGGAACTCTCTTCTCTTGGCATGGGGCTGTGCAGTGTGCACGCAGAGGCAAGTCTGTGTGATCCTTGAGGGCTGCCAGTCACAGCTGGATGCTCCACAGCTGGAGCCCGACATCAAGAACATGCCAAGGCTAAGCACAAGCATGCCTTAGCAGACCTGCAGGCACCCACTGGCACAGAGGCAAGCAGCGGAGGGCGGCATTACAATTTTCCAGCAATACTTCTTGCAATGCTTCTACTGGAAGACCCCTAACACAGGTCTACAGAACACTGAAGAAGAGAAATATTCCTATGGTTTCTGAGGACAGAACATACAAACAATAGCTTACCATGGGAGAAATTGTGGGCTAACAGGCTTTCATGAGAAGGTAGTTTAAGTGTTGACTTGAAACTTTCACTTATCTTTCCACAACAGCAAATTAATAGAAATTAAATAGAAATACCCACCTCCAAAAAAACATGAGAGTAAATATAAGAGTATTTACTGCCAAAGACTTTCACAACATATGGCTAAATCTTAAAAAGTAAGCTATAAAACAGTGCAGTTTCATATCCAGCTACAATAACTAAATGGATTTTTAAAAAGTAACTCATAGTTACATATGAGAAGCTAAAAAGACAGCACTAAAATGTTCGTTATTTATCTCTGGTGGGCATTATAGCAGATTAGCATTCCTGCTTCCTATTTTTCTGTTTTCCATTAAAACGTCATTTCCTCTCTAATGAGATACGTTGAAAAAAGGTTTGTATTTAAAACGTAACAAAACAAAACTTTGTTCTTTTCTTTCAACTGAAATGTACCCTGAAGTTCTTTTTTTTTTTGTCCGGTCGTGGGGCCTGAACTCTGGGCCTGGGCGCTGTCCCTCAGCTCTTCAGCTCAAGGCTAGCGCTCTAACCACTTGAGCCACAGCACCACTTCCGGCTTTTTTCTTTTTGCTTATGTGGTGCTGAGGAATCGAACCCAGGGCCTCAGGCATGCAAGGCAAACACTCTACCAATGAGCCAACTTCCCAGCCCTCGTACCCTGAAGTTCTTATAACAGCTTACTGTGAGTTTATTAGGATTTGAGTGTATCTTGGTTTGAAAATTTGATAAAAAATAGATCAATGGTATCATTAAGTTACAAAGGCAGCAGACAGAGGCAGTGTCCCACATAGACTTCAAAAGCACTCACAGAATGTCCACAGTTCCCACTGTAGAGAAGCAGGTGCTATAACTTCCAGGTACACTCTACCATGCACCTGTGTTATACTTACCTGCGTCAGGTAGTCAATGAGAGCTAAGTGAGCCTTCTCCAACTCAGCACCAGAGAGCACAGGCAGTGGGTTTGGGTACTGTAGCTGCTTCCTGTAGTCTGTGGGCAGCAGGTCAGGGTACAAGCCCATCACATGGGTGGGATCTACAAGAAAGGTATGCATCACTCCTCTACAAAAGAGCCTGACAATTTAAGGATAAAATAAAACATGACCATTACCACAGGAAAATGAGTTCCAGATTGATTTGAAAAAGGAAAATAGAACAAGTCTAAGTTCGGAAGAACTCAATGAGCTGCATACTTATGATCTGAGCACTCTACGTAAATGTTAAAATTTCACTGAAATGCTACAAAATGGCATGATTCTATCTTCTAAAGTATAGGCATATGTAGAATTAGAACTCAACACTTATCAACTTTCTTTAAAGAACAGGATAAAATTTTCCAAAGATCAGTTGATAACACTGAAGTAAAAACCACCAACAGATCCACTAAAGAAATAACCTTTAGCCGGGTGCTGGTGGCTCACGCCTGTAATCCTAGCTACTCAGGAGGCTGAGATCTGAGGATCGCGGTTCAAAGCCAGCCCCGGCAGGAAAGACCGTGAGACTCCTATCTCCAATAAACCACCAGAAAACCGGAAGTGGCGCTGTAGCTCAAGTGGTAGAGCGCTCGCCTTGAGCTGAAGAGGTGAGGGACAGCGCCCAGGCCCAGAGTTCAAGCCCCACGACCGACCAAAAAAAAAAAAAAAGAACCTTTAAAAAAAAAAAAAAAGGGTAATTAAAAAAAAAAATCTAGACAACTGGCCACGAAATGCATTTGTAATATATATGGAAAGAGGTTAATTTGCTAACGAAATAAAACAAACCCACAAAACTGCTGAGAAAAATGTAAAATTTCATTTGATAAATGGGCAAAATAACTAACAATAATATAAAGTAGGAAAGTATTCTGATACAGAGGAATCTAGGGAACTGTTTCTTTTTAACTCATTAAATGTACTAGAGTCCCACAGATGCTGAGATGAAATAATAAAACCCTGCAAGTGGCCTACATATCCCCTCCCAGCTGCCACTGTGAACTGGATAAATAATTCACAGTGCATCCATACTGTGCAACACTGTGCTACGTTCAACTGGCACATAGCCTTCTCTTTCTACCTCTTAAGAGTTGTGAATGTCAAAGATGAAAAATCCTGTTCGTCAGCACTCTGAAAAGTCAGTATTCTGGATAAAAATCTGGTTCTACCAAGAAGCTGACACGGGAGATTTGGGACTTTTAAGTGAGATGGGTCTCCCTCCTCACACTGAGCAACCAGTTCATTGGTGTTGGCAGTCAGATGTGGTATGCTCCAGTACTGGCTCTGTCTACATCTAGAGGCACTTGCCCAGATATAGCTGTGGGACCAGAGCAGTGGAAGCAGCAGCAGCTGGCTGAGTTCTAGGTTATAGCAGGTATGTGTGCATGCGCAGGTATGATAGAAGAAAAAAATATATTATCCCTAACGATGCAATTTTGGAAATAATGAGTAACTGCTCAATAGAAGAATAAAGAAGGTATGTTTAAATCAACTGATAAGAGCATTATAAGATCATTACAAATTATAATTAAGAAATGTACACTGCAGTAAAGTAATAAAAGTTACTCAAGTACACGAAGTTATGATCATAAATCTGTTAAAAGGTATACATGCATAACAAAATGTGGATAAGGATCAAACAAATGAAAGATCCACCCCAAAGCCACACCTGCCCGTTACCTGTGCCAAGCTTTGCAAAGACCTGCATGGACTCATCAAAGCGCTTCTGGCAGAAGAGATTGAAGGCATACAAGTTCTTGATGTGATGGATTTGTTGTTGCTTTTCACTGTCTGAATCGTCTTTCATTTCCTAAGAAATCGAGTAAGACAAAGACTCACTCAACAAGGATTTATGCAGCCCATTCTGGGGGAGTCGGAAGATGTACCATCATGTTCCATCCTGGAACACAAACAATGACATTAACGGGGAAAAAAAAACAGGTCAACTCTGAATAAAGTTGAGTTTAGTTTGAAAACAATACAGGGTGAGAATGACCTATAGAAGCACCTGTAAATACAGCGTGAGCAGGGGTGTAGGAGCGACTAACTGGAGCTAGCCACAGCTGGGAATGTGACACACGGAGGGAAGAGGAGGGTACTATTGGCTAAGGGGACGGCATACGTGCAAGCACCTACAATGACAGCAAGCCTGGTAGCTCAAGGACTGAAAGCCAAGTGGGACAGTCAGCACAGCTCACAGCAAAAAGTTCATCAGTGGGGCTGTTACCAGCCCTCATTATTCCGATAACCTTTTCCCTTCATATCCTCTTTGACTAGTCTCTACTAAATTTAATTTCTTCCCTCCCTTCTTCCGATCTCCCCTCCTCTCTTCTCCTGTCCCTTTCTGATAGCAACCATTGTCAGCCTGCAGCTGCACGTGGTCCCATATCCCCACTTGATGCACGAATGAGAAGAAAGTTAAGATGTTAAAATTAAATGCCCCAAGAAAGAAATCATCAATGTGAGATATTAGTGGTATCTAACTCTTAAGACTAAACTTTCGTCTTAAATTATCCATTCAAAAGTTAACGTTGCTCTTCCAAAGTAGCCACCATTATTTGACTCCACATACTGACTTAAAGAAAAAAAAAGCCAAGTGTGGCAGTGCTTGCGGAACTCCCAGCACTTGGGAAAATGAAAAGTTCAAGGCCACAACCTCCCTAAGCACTGGGATTATTAGACATGGATTATGTGCAGTAGGTGAAGTAGTTTGAGAGGGTTGTTACAAAAGAAGCAAGCCTGGCCCTGTGCTCTAGCAGAGGGATAACTGTTGGCTGGCTCCTGCAAAGGCTTTTGCTATTCCTCTCCATGCCTGAAGGTGGCGCAGTGAGCTGACAACCCGGAGCTTAGGCTATGCCATTTGGACTTTAAACCTCCGAAAGTGTGAGCTATATAAACCTCTTTTCTTTCTAAAAGTAGACTGAGTCTAGCATTTTGTTACACTGATGAAAAGCTGACTAATACAGTAAGTCTTGTGCTTGAATGTAACAACTTGAGGTTGGTTTAGGATGTCTAAAGAAGTCCATTTGTCCAAACCCAGGGTCTACTGAGCTAGAGATCTGAGAGGCTATCTACTTGCTGCATTTAACCAGACATAGGACATTCATGATTATCACCTTATGTTAATGTCTGAATGATCTTTACATTTTCAAAACCAATTATCAACTAAATTACCTTACTCTCATTAATTCTGGTAGACACTATTGTAATTGGTATTTATTTTCTCCCTTTGGATAAATAAAACAGGGTGAAAAAGTAAAAATCACTTAGCTACATTAATATTTTTCAGGTAAAGACCCTGAATTGAAGCCCCCTGACTTTAGTTCAGTGTTTATTCTACTAGTCCCAACTAAATACCAATGTCTACAGCAAATTCACCTCACTGGAGAGTGAGGAAGGCCAACTCACACCCACACTGGAGACACACTTACTGCAAGCTGCAGAGCCAGCTCAAACTGCTTGTCTTGGAGAAGCTGCTGGATCTGGGTGGCCATGGGCACAGGAATGAGTCTCCAAACGAAATGATTGCTGGCCACATAGATAATGTTGGATCTGGAGGCAGGATTAAGAACACTTGGTTGAGAGCGCATGTGCTTTCGGGGACACAGGTGACTTTTGGATCATGTGGTGGCGCACAGAAAAGAAACTCCTTACCCCCCTGAAGTGATGAAACGGGGTCTTTGCAATTCAATGCTCTGGACCAGAAGCCTTGGCTCAAACGTCCGGATCTCTACATACCGAGGCAACACCGCGATGATGTACGGAGGCTGGTGCTCTGTGGGAGAGAACAGGCTCAGCCCTGGGCTTTGTGTGGGCGGAGCTTCGCTTGCCCACACTATGGTGCGCTGAAATGCATCTTCAAGCACCACAAGTCAAAAACCAAGCTGGGACCCCACACTGCAATCACAGAAAGGAAAAAGCACTGCTTTGGCTGGGTGTGGTGGGCTACACGGTGAGTCAGGTAAGCCTGGGCTACCTGGCAAGAGCCTGCCTCAAAAAAGTGAAAAGAACAAGGTGAACGTTGCTTTGCCTGAGTGATGCCAAGAGAAATCTGCTCAAAAAAGGTACATCGGGTGTTACTGAAGACTGGACCCCACGTGACTGTCTCCACAAAGAGCTGGAGGAAAGTGTCATGTGTCCCTTGCTCATGGGTCATACCAAGCCAGGCCAGACCAAAGGTGCACATGAAGAAGCTGGTGACAAAACTGTTTCCTTCTCTTAGAAAGGCAAGGGAAGGGTAGTTTATGCCTGCCCTATCCATCTTTCTAGCCAGTAATCCTGCTGGAGGTCTGTGCGGGGAAGAGACACAAAGCTCCACTTATTGGTGGTTATATTGGTTGAATGTTTTAGTACCTCTAAACACACATTTGTTGGAAAGTCAATGCCCAATGCAGCACTGCCAGTAGGTGTAGGGCGCCCCACTGTGAACAGGACTTGCAAAGAGGGGGTGATCTTCTTTTCAGCTCTTCTGCCATGTGCAGACATACTATCCTTTGTCTTTCTGCTTCTGCCTTTGAGGACACAGCCCAAAGGCCTAGTCAGACACCACACTGGTGCTCTGTCTCAGATTTCCTAGTTGTCAGAAGTGTGAGGAAACCCAGCTCTCCTCTCTGTAAGTAACTGGGTCTGTGGCAGTTACAGCAGCACAATGGACCAGGACAATGGCTGATGGTATACTGGCTGTTCTCAGAACTGTCATTTTCTATCTGATTCTCATGATGGTTAGGACTGCTTTTCTTTATCACACACATCTAAAACCACTTTGGTTTCTTTCAGGCCAGGTCTCACCATGTGGCCTACATTGCCTAGTCTGGCCTCAAACCCCTGAATCTCCTGTTTCAGCCTACAAAGTATTTCAGATTATGGGTGAATGCCAGAAGCACTTTTATTAAACTTTCCACAACTCAAAATTTAACTCTTGTTGGCCCAATATAACTCTTGGTTACATCTCTTTATTCCATTTTTCTTCTTTCTTTCTCTCTCTCTTTCTTTCATTCTTTTGCAATAATGGGATTTGAACTCAGGGCTTTGCACTTGGCAGACAGGTGGCTCTACCATTTGAGCCATATGGTACATGTATATTTGGCACAGGCTGGCACTGCAATCTTCCCAATCTCTACCTCCAGAGTAGCTGCGGTTTGGGGACTAGTCCTTTTTTTAATGGCTCTAAAAGGAGAACTAGGTGCATGAGACAATATGAACTACTCTGCTAAAACGATGACTGACTAGGACTCCATTCAAGAGGGGTGACGCACAACCCCAGCCAAAGTGGACAAAAGCTGCTGGTCTCACCCATGGCCACCGGAATGTCTGTCCAGTTCAGGGCACATTTCTGTGTGCAGATGCCTTCCTCATTGAGCACCACGGTGAGATCATCCTGACCCACGGCCACTTTTCCATCTGCCAGGGGTGCAACTAAGGGCTCCAGCTGTTTTCCTGTTGGAAAGAGCTCTTTGATGGACCCCTTTCCATCCACCTGTTACAGGAGGGCACAAAATGAGTCATCCAGCATTGCCCAAAGACATAGATGTGGCCTGGAAAAATCCAGACAAAACCCCAAATCTAGAAGCCAATGATGCTCCTTCTGTGACCTAAATTATCTTTTTTTTTTTTTTTGGTCGGTCATGGGGCCTGAACTCTGGGCATGGGTGCTGTCCCTGAGCTCTTCAGCTCAAGGCTAGCATTCTACCACTTGAGCCACAGCAACACTTCCAGTTTTCTGAGTGGTTTATTGGAGATAAGAGTCTCACTGACTTTTCTGCCGAGGCTGGCTTTGAACCAGGAACCTCAGATATCAGTCTCCTGCGTAACTAGGTTTATAGGTGAGCCTTTGTTTACTAATTTCTTATTAAGCTTACCACAAACTTATTACAGGACCCAGCAACCCCATTTTTAGGAGTCTGCCCAAAAGAATGACAAATTTGTTTACGCCAACTTGAACGCAAGTGTTTATAGCAGCCCTATGACAGTTTTAAAAACTGAACAGCTCTGGGCTGGGAAGTTGGCTTAGTGGTAGAGTGCCTGCCTTGCATGCATGAAGCCCTGGGTTTGATTCCTCAGCACCATATAAGCAGAAAAAAAACAGAAGTGGCGCTGTGGCTCAAGTGGTAGGACGCTAGCCTTGAGCTGAAGAGCTGAGGGACAGTGCCTAGGCTCAGAGTTCAGGCCCCACGACCAACAAACAAAATAAAACATAAAAACAAAAAAACTGAACACCTCTATCCTTCAGCTGATGAATGGATAAACTCAGCGATACAAAATAAACTACTGATGAACATAATAAAGATAAATCTCAAATGTACTATACTAAATGAAAGAAACCAGATTCAAAAAGCTACATATTGTAGAATTCTATTTATATAATATTCTAGGAGAGACAAAAATCTAAGCCAGAGGATGGGGTAACACCGATCAAGATGCACTGTACTCATAATCTGACATGCTGAACTGAAACCCCTTTGTACAAAAAAATCAATACTGCTGGGTGCTGGTGGTTGGCACACACCTGACACCCTAGCTACTTAAAGAGACTGATATCTGAGGATCGCAGTTCAAAGTCAGCCCAGGCAGGAAAGTCCATGAGACTATTGTCTCCAGTAAACTACTCAGAAAGAGCCATTGGAAGTGGTGGTGTGGCTCAAGTGATAGAGTACTTGCCTTGAGCACAAAGAAACTCCGGGACAGCACCCAGACCCTGAGTTCAAGCCCCAGCACCAGCGGGAAAAAAAAGAATTTTAAAAAAAAAAAATCTAAGCCATAAAGAACAGATCAATGGTTATAGAGGTTTGAGAGTTGGATGAAGGAAGTTTGAGGGAGTTTTGGAGTAATGTAGTTGTTGTGAATTCTTACTGTGGACTAAGGCCACAAAAGTCCAAGCATTTTTCAAAACCCAAAATTGTACACCAAAAAGAATGAATTTTATTGTGTGTCAATAAGTGATTACTATTTGAACAGCTCTGGCTCTGCTTTGATTCCTTACAAACTTCTCTCTGTACATATATGGCTGTTTGTTACGAAGTCAGCCGCATAGCACAGACTCCTTACTGATGCTGATAAATAAGAATGTTCTAAAAATAGACAGATGGAAGGTCTATACCAGTAGGATAACAAGAACTAAGACTATGGGGAATAAGAAGAGGTTTTAGAATTGCCAAGTCTAGACTAGCAGACAGGTATGAAGCTAAGGGATTTAGATTAGCTTTATAAAAAAAATAATTTCTACATGTGATTTGCAGACTAAAGGAAGAGTCTCATGGACTTTCCTGCCAGGGCTGGCTTTGAACAGCTATCTTCAAATCTCAGCCTCCTGAGTGGTTAGGATTACATGCGTGAGCCACCAGCACCCAGCCCGTAGTGATTACTTCTGAGTGGAAGGATTCTGGGTGATCTGTACTTCTTTTAACTCCTTATTTACATCTTATTTCCCATAATAAACATATGTAGCTTAAAAAAACTAAAAACAGTGGAAATAAGTTTAAAAACAAATATATTCAAAGATTCAAGGGGATAGGGTAGCTCAAAGTCTTAAAACTACTTAATACACATCTACAGAACTCTTGGGCACACACGTGTTAGGAGAGCGGGGCATGATAATTTTCTTTCCTAATAATGAGGTAAGTGCTGAGGAGAACCATTATGTACAAGACAGAGTCAGCCCTTCCCGCTTGTTAAACAAGCATTTATGGAAAACGCTGGAAGAATAAAAAAAAATAAGCAAACATACAAACAAACACAGGCCCTGGTATGCCAATCAGTCATCTTCCCCAAGGTAAGCCAAAAATATTAGCAAAATCATAAAGTCTTACCCTTATCAGGTAATAGTCTCTCTTGAAGCCCACACAGATTGAATTCTCACACCATGCCATGGACTTGGGAACATCAGGTACACTAAAGTCCCCCTAAAGAGCAAGAGTAAGAGTTCAATGGAAAGATAACACCTTTCTACCTTTCCACTTCCAATTGGCAAAATAACCCTCATTGTCATCTGAGCACAGTTCCTCCCAGAACAAGCCAGGAAAGCACACTTCATTTATGTCACCCGGGAACTAGACATAGGGCTTTTGGAAAAGGCTTCAGAATTTTATCACAAAGGGACATAACGGCGCTCTCAGGTACTTCCTATCAAGAGGTTAGTTGGGCAAAACTACATGCCAGGGTCTTGAACTTCCCCAGAACTGCACAGGAAACAGAAGTCTTTCATGCCATGGGCTGACTGTAGCACCAGCTCCTCCCCCACAGCCAGGCACACATGGACTTTACCTGCAATTCATGAAACTCCCTGTCCTTCCAAAAGTACAGCTGCAGTTTCTTTTTCACTGCCACACATAGCCGCAACACCTCCTCACCAGTCTCCGTGTGCTGGGAAGAGATACCCAGAGCAAATGAGGTTGCACACACAATGCTCGTCATATACAGTGGCAATCGCATGACCCATTTTCTGCCTGGGAATGGACATGAAGTCATGCTGCCAGAAGAGCAGGGTAGAACACTATTTTTCATCACATATCCAGAAACACTTTATCCCCAAGGCTAGCTGCTAAAATCCTAGCACCATGTAGACAATTCAGAGGAAAATCCTAGGGTAAGGGAGGTCCTATCCTGTAGAACTATTTCCTCTTTTTTTTTTTTTTTTTAAATGGAACCCAGGGCCTTGTATGTGCTCGGCAAGTATTCTATCATGAAGCCTCATCTCTAGTCCATGGTTGTCATAAGTGTCATTGATAGCAGGCCCACTCTCAATCCTTTGAAAGAACTGGGGAAAGAAAATTCTTATGATCAAAACAATGCAGTGTCAAAGGGAGCTATAAACGTTAAAAAAGTGATCAGAGCTGAGAAGGGTGAGGCAGAGTTTGAAGGACATATAGAACATAAATTGGCTAGAAAAAGAAGAGATTTTGTGAGTGTGTGTGTGTGTGTGTGTGTGTGTGTGTGTGTGCGCGCGCGCACGTGTGCGCATGCATGCACTTGCCAGTACTGGGGCTTGAACTTAGGGCTTTGCTCTCTTATTTGGCCTTTTCACTTAAGGCTAGCACTCTATGAGCCACAACTCTACTTTGATTGGTTAATTGGAGAGAAGAATCTCATAGACTTTTTCCTGCTTGTACTGGCTTCAAACTATTATGTTCAAATCTCAGCCTCCTGAGTAGCTAGGATTACAGGTAAGCCACTGGTGCCCAGCTGAGATACCTTTTTTTTTTAAACAATAAAAATTCCCTAAAAACAAAGGCTAAAGTAATCTGTTTAGAACCAGTCAATTGAACATCATGAATAATTATGTTCATGATACTGTTACAGTCTCACTTTCTCACCAATGGAAGGTGTAATAACACTTTGGTGAGTTGATTCCTATAATATAGATATTTACATTCTAATTAGCACACACAGAGTTATTGCAAATATTTCAACTTTGCACTATAATGGAGGAAAGTCTAATAGAATCCTAAATTAAATGCTGTCCTTAGAGTCTGTTGGGTTAGGGGCATCAGCGTGATTCTTCCTGTGGAATGGTAGGAATGAGGGAGGGCTGTACTGAGTGAAGTCCACTGCCGAAGCCCATCTGTGTCCACTTACCTGCAGGTCACATGTGAACAGCGATGCTCCCTTTGCCTTTGAAACTGTAGTGATTTGTTGAAATGTCAACAGGTCGTGGACATAAATGTTGTTTTCTGTACAGGAGGAGGTAAACATGTAACCATAAGTATTCAGCATTCTGTAATATAACTACTTCAATACAAAAAAAAAACCTGTAACTGTGTAACATCTACACGAATCAAATGGCAGGTGCTGGTTATGGTGTAATGTCCGTTTCATTAACTACATGGGCAGACTTCAGTTAAAGCCCTCTCCCATTTCCAAAGCACTGTCACACTTGTCTTTCTCAAATCTGGAAATGTGCAATATGGTATCTGTGCAAGACTTTCAAAGCCATTTACATTAAGAAGCTCCAATTACAAAAAAGAAATACTCGGTGAATTTGGTATATACTCACAGCAAAGATTCAAAGATTTGTCTGAGCAAAGCTAGCAAAATAATATGGTCATCTTGCATGAGAGAACTTTGTTGCAAGATTCCCCATGGAGTTAAGAAAACACAAAATGCTGTATATGCTACATCATTCCTATTCCTACACGCCTATGAAAAAAAAGCTTAACTTATAAGCTGAGCACAGTAAGAAATGAAAAACAATAGCAAACAACAAAAAAAAAAAACAATTATACTAACAATATAAAGAATTTATGTGGATTCAGTATTTCTCTTTCACAAAAATAGCTAACTGTTCTGTTTTGCGGCCCTTTTCTCAAACCCACCACTAATCACAAGTAACTGACGCTCCAGGGAGTGAACTGTAGGTAAGAAGATGACTGTGGTGTTACCTTGGCCTCACACCTGGTTTTATTTTATTAGTAGTATTTTTTCAGTCATGGGGCTTGAACTCACAGCCTGGAAACTGTCCCTGAGCTTCTCTGCTCAAGGCAGTGCTCTATCACTTTGAGCCACAGTGCCACTTCCAGTTATCTGGTAGTAATTGGAAATAAAAGAGTTTCTTGCCTGGGCAGGCTTGGAACTGCAATCCTCTGATCTCAGCCTCCTGAGCAACTAGGATTATAGGCGTGAGCCACCAGTACCTGGGTTCACACCTAGTTTTAGTTACAAACAATTATTACTTACATGTTCACCCATGATCCTAAGCTAACAATGATTCTGCTACTTGGGCCCCAGGCTCAACAGCAGGGTGAGACAAACTTCTAGTCCTCTCTTGCCAAGAAAAAGCCTCCTATGAAACCAGGGCTTTTCAAACAAGGCCTCTAGCAGCCTGGGCCCCATTTGCTGACGCACCACTTTCCACCACAGAACCCAATCTGGCCACATGGTGGGAACAACCTACTTAGGTTGTTCCTTGTGGTAATGCTCAGCTTCCTCTCTTCCTGTGGAAACTCTAATCATCCACCAGCCAGCAAAGCCCTCCCATTACTAAGATCCCACAGCACACTACTAAGTTCCCACTGGCACTTAATACTTTGTGGCATAAGCCAGAGGTAGCACTGTGGCTCAGGTGGTAGAGTGCCAGCCTTGAGCAAAAAAGCTCAGGGTCAAAGCCCAGGATTGGCACAGGGAAAAAAAAAACACACAAAAAACACTTTGTGGAATGATTACTTTGTTATATTGGTCTTCATAATCAGAATTTAATTATCAAAAATATCAAAGATATTTAAACTCTCCCTGGAACTTGACATTCCCAATGTCTAGTTCAGGCTTTGCAGAGTATGGCTTAATACATTACCTGATATATTAAATGAATGAAGGGAGAAACCTGGGAAAACAGAGGTCAAGTTTATAGGAGATGCTGCTACCTACATGTGGTTCCGAAAATACCAGCTCACTGCTAATTACCATTACAATAACCCTGAGAGGGTTATTTTGGTCACAGTGTTTGTGTTTTAATATGTGAAATATAAAAGCAGCCTCTTTCTTACCTAACAAGCTGACTAGAATCTTAAACTGGGAAACCACATGGATCTGGAAAACAACAAATCATTAGACTCAATTAAGCATTTCTAACAAGGTTTAGCAAATGTCCACTTAACAGTGATTTAAAAAAAAAAAAAAGGGGGACTGAGGAATCTATATCAGTTACAGGCAGAGGACTCATTTTGATATGCAACCACAATTTCTGCTTATGAGAGGACTGTAAGGCGCGTAATACACAGGCAATTATCCCTATAGAAATGGAAGTGCAAAAGGATTTAACAAGTTAATAAATAACATCATTATTAAAGTTCTGGCTTTGTAGGGTACTATGGTGTGATTTATAGCCCCAGGGTCCATGTGTTGAAAGCTTGGTTCTAGTGTGGTGATGTTAAGAAGTGGGACATGCAGTTAGGAGGGAGTAAAGTAGTTCTCATGAGACCCTGGAACTGGATCTCAAGAGAAGCTGTTGTAAAACAGCAAGTCCCTTTCGGACTCACTCTCTCTGGCTTCGTGCATGGAGACATGAGCCTTTCCTCTCTTAGTGTGCTCCTCCCATGACAAATGTCTCCAGATCTGGGCTGATGTTATTACCTGCCTTGAACTTTTTAGACACTTTGTGATAGTAATGAAAACAGCCTATTAGAGCGGTCTCAGACAAGTCAAATATTGTCATAGTCATAACCATTATTGCCTACCTGCTGGATCTTTTTGGAGAAATTCTTATTGGACTTCTCTAGTGTCACTTCAAACCTGTTGCAACCTATGGAAAAGAAAGAAACATAGATACACACAGAAGCAACAAAAACACTGCTTTATTCTGCTCTCTTACATAAACCTTTAAAATTCCTAAAAGATTAGAAGTCAGAGATCTGATAGGCAGCTGCCTTTACTAAGCACAGAGGAGCTTTCCACTCCAATTTAAGGGGGATAAAAAAGAGCTACATGCACTGTTGGCACTGGCAGAAAGATTGACATAAGGTTTACTGAAGCAGCAAGGTACTTGTGAGTCTGATGATCTTCCCCTACAAAATACCTTGGCAAAGTGTTTCGTAAGGAAGAGTATAAACACTAAGTCAACTCTAAGAGCCCAAGCAGTGAAAGCCAGCCAGAAGCATACACCAGCTACCCTATGCCTACACCACAGGGAAGAGCCACACTGAACACCGTCTCCAGAGCTAGTGCAATGTAATGGATCTACACTTACTGCCACTTTCAGGTGATGCTATATCTGTTGGTACTGTTGCAAGAAAGGGGAAGAAAGTTATGGGTCATAAAAACTTGTGCTCCTAGGCTTTGTTGGAGATGACAAAACTACAGAAATCCCCCACCTGCTGCAGGAGTTACATTCCAAAGACCCCCACAATAGGTGAAAATCCACAAAGTAGCAGCGCTATATTCATTTTGTTATTTATATATTTTTAAGGCTTTATAAACCTTTCCCTCCTTCCTATAAGCCTTTCCTACTAGTTTATTAACCTTAACAATCTTATTGTTTTAATTTTGGAAGAAATAGTTGTACTGTCAAAAATTTATAGAATTCACAAACTTTATAGACCATAATAACCTGTAAAGGTTAAAATGTGTCTGTGACTTTAAGTATCACTATCCCAGAATTTGTGAAATTTATGTAATCACTTAATCTCTAAAAATTATTTTAAAAATAATTAAAATCGTAAATATTATGTAAATACCTACATATTGCAAAATCACCCAATATAGTCAAAATTCTGCGATACAGAATTAGATATATGGGCTGGGAAGGTGGCTCAGTAGTAGAGCGCTTGCCTTGCATGCATGAGGCCCTGGGTTCGATTCCTCAGCACCACATAAGCAAAAAGAAAAAAGCCGGAAGTGGTGCTGTGGCTCAAGTGGTAGAGCGCTAGCCTTGAGCTGAAGAGCTGAGGGACAGTGCCCAGGCCCAGAGTTCAGGCCCCACGACCGGACCCAAAACAAAAACAAAAAACAGAATTAGATACATATATTTAAAAAACCCACGATACAGTGAAGCCACAATAAGCAATATAGCAAGGGATGACTGTATTCAGTCCTCAAAGTCACTGAAAAATAAAAGAGTAATTATCATAATAATAGTTAACTATCATTAATCAATAACTAGATACCATCCAAGTTCATATCTGAGGGGCCTGATGAGCTTAGCAGCTAGGGAGTGGCCACAATCAGAGCCTGGAAGCAAAGGCAAGACTGAAAAGTCAGTCCTGTACTTGAGCCACGCCCTGCTATCCTGCTTCCCCCTGGTGGAGGGGCAGCTCATACTTCGGTTCTGGCGTCAGTGCAGGCTCTCTGGAGAAGCCACAAGGACTCATGCCAAGGCCAGTCTTCCTTCATGTGTCATTCTGCAGAAGAGAGAACGATGGGGGACCGCCCTACAGTTGCAGGCAGATTCTGGAACCTGCCATAGTACATTCATAAGAGAAAAAACAATTCAGTCGCTTCCAGAATGGTTAAAAAAAAAAGTGGGGGGGGAGCCTGGGAAGGTGGCTCAGTGGTAGAGCACTTGCCTTGAATGTATGAGGCCTGGGGTTCGATTCCTCAGCACCACATAATCAGAAAAGCTGGAAGTGGCGCTGTGGCTCAAGTGGTAGAGTGCTAGCCTTGAACTGAAGAGCTGAGGGACAGTGCCCAGGCCCAGAGTTCAAGCCCCATGACCAAAAAAAAAAAAAAGTTCTGTATTTGAAAAAGGCCTAACTAGATTCAACCATCTTTTTAGAAGCAAAATTCTCTATGACAGAGATTCTGAAACTTTTAGTCTTAGGACCCCTTTGTAATTAATCATATAAATTATGAGAAACAGTTTTTATGCAAGTTATGTCTATGAACACTTACCAAACTGGAAGTGAAAATGAGTAAATACTTAAAATATTTAGTCCCTAATTCATTATATTTAAAACATATATTAACTAATCCATTAATTCAAAGTGGCAGTATTAAGACTATGTTTGCATAGAACCTAATGTAATAAAAGATAACTATTTTTCCAAAACAAAAAAAGTACTGTTTTACACTTTTGCAAACCTTCTTTAATATCTGCCTTGACAGAAAACAGCTGGATTCTCACATGTACTTTTGCATTTAATCTGCTTTTTTTGTTGTTGTAGCGTTAGGCTATACATTTGGGCCGTCTTAATCTAGACAACTACTCTACTACTGACCTACACTCCAGCTCTACATTTAATCTGTTTTGACATATTATTTTGAAGTATCTAAGAAAAATCTGTCTTTGCACAGATATCCATCTCTGTCTATCTATCTATCTATCTACAGTTGGAAAAGGGAAAATATTTTAATAGTTTTTCAGATAATTATGGATCATATGTGATCTTTAGAACTATAAAGCTTGGTAATTTGGTTTCCTGTAATGGGGAAGCAATCTCAAACCTATCCCTAAACATTTCAGACTATGTCACATTAAATCCACTGGTCTACAAAGTAGCACTGTGGCTCAAAGTGGTAGAGCTCTAGCCTTAAGCGCAAAAGCTCAGGGACAGTAGCCAGGCCCTGAGTTCAAATCCCCCTGAGCAACAACAAATACAAAAACAGTCACCTTAAAACCCACTGTCAGCCAGGCGCTGGTAGCTCACACCTGTAATCCTAGCTACTCAGGAGGCTGAGATCTGAGGATCACAATTAGAGTCATCCCAGGCAGGAAAGTCTATGAGACTCTTATCTCCAATAAACCACTAGAAAAACTGGAAGTGGTGCTGTGGCTCCAGCAGTATAGTGCTTTCCTTGAGCTGAAAAGCACAGGGTCAGCACTCAAGCCCAGAGTTCAAGCCCATGACTGAAAAAAAAAAATCCACTGGTCAACGGGGCACTGGTGGCTCAGGCCTATAATCCTAGATACTCAGGAGGCTGAGATCTGAGGATTGCAGCTCAAAGCCAGCCTGGGCAGGAAAGTCCACGACTCTTATCTCCAATAAACCACCAGAAAACTGGAAGTGGTGCTGTGGCTCAAATAGTAGAGCACTAGCCTTGAGCTGAGGAGCTGAGGGAAGGAGGACAGAGCCTAGGCCCAAAGTTCAAGCCCCAGGACAAAAAAAAAATTCACTGGTGTAAGCAAAGGAAGGGGTGGCATTATCCAAAAAAGAAATGTACCCCTCACCTGACTTATGAAATGGTAATCCTTTTGTACAAAACCTTAATAACAACAATAAAATTATATTTTTAAAAATTCCACAAGCTGGGCGCCGGTGGCTCACGCCTGTAGTCCTAGCTACTCAGGAGGCTGAGATCTGAGGATGGTGGCTCAAAGCCAGCCCAGTCAGAAAAGTCCATGAGACTCTTATCTCCAATAAACCACTAGAAAAAAAACGGAAGTGACACTGTGGCTCAAGAGGTAGAGTGCTCGCCTTGAGCTGAAGAGCACTGGGACAGAGCCCAGGCCCAGAATTCAAGCGCCACAACTGACCCCCCCCCCCCAAAAAAAAAAAATCCACTTATTTGTCTTCTACTTTGAATGGGTCTTTTACTTACACATGATTTAGGAATTTCATGCACTGATCATCTGGAAAATATTGTTTCTACCGGTCATGTCATTTTTCAAAATGCAGTCATATTTAATTATAGAACTGACATTCACATTCATTATCATCTTGAAGTGTTAAAAATCTGTCAAGCTCATGGGAGTGGCCATGCTTTCCACAATTCTAATTCTCTCCTGAACTTTATCATTTCTTTTTTTTTGTCGGTCGTGGGGCTTGAACTCTGGGCCTGGGCATTGTCCCTCAGCTCTTCAACTCAAGGCGAGCGCTCTACCACTTGAGCTACAGCGCCACTTCCCTGAACTTTATCATTTCTAACAAACATTGCCAGTTGTTCTCTTTGAAGTGATGAGGATTAATTTTTGGAGGGGAAAAAAAAAAAGTCTACCAAATACCCAAACAATCTGAAAAATCAATGTCATTCTTTCAAACAAAAATGACACTCTCTGAAGACATTGGCCAATTCATCGAGTAACTTGACCACACAAGAAGTACTTTTCCCCAAGACAGCCATTGGCCACATGCATCTTGACATCCGGCAGGAGCATCATGTGTATTTCCCATTACATCAAAAGGGACTGCTTAAAACATGTGTTACCAGAGACCAAAATACAGAACAATTATACCTTTTATTGTTTCACCAAGATTATTCTTAAGTGAGGCTAACTTAAGGGAAAAAAAAAACAAAACTCTACTGCTAGGAGTACATGGTGGAAAGTAAGTGAGTGATGGGTACCTGTCCAGACTAGCGCCACTGCCTTGGTCTGGGCTGAGGGCCAGCAGACTTAACTACCATTACTTTTGTATCATCACTTCAAATGGCAATATGATAGGAACAAGCACTGTAGTTTTTCTATGGATTTAAGTTTTGTGAGGCTTATTCCAGGAGGATCTTGGAGACATCCAGGGAGACCACTGGTGCTCTCCGGTGACAACACAACTGAAATTAACCTAGAGTTGTTAAGGTGTCAGATGTGGGATGGAAATACTCATTGGGCTGAAAGCTACGCAACTGCTTTTTGTGGGCCTAATGTGGTTGGATAATGACAGTTGGCTTCAATAGTTTGCTTTAGGACACAGCATCTAAACATCAATTTTCCATAAAGACAGCATAAGAATAAAATTAGGAAAGAGGAATAAAGTGCTTTTTCCATAGTAAAGGATAGATACTACTCAAGAAGCTGAGATCTGAGGACTGAGGTTTAAAACCAGCCCGGGCAGGAAATTTGGTGAAACTCTTATCTCCAGTTAACTACCAAATAAACAGAAATAAAGCTGTGGCTCAAAGTGGTAGAGCCTTGAACAAGAGAGTTCAGGGACAGTGCCCAAGCCCTGAATTCAAGCACCACAACTTACTAATCACAGGGAAAGGAAAAAAAAGGATACTCTTTAGCAGGATAAGTTTCAAAATACTTCATTTATTATTGATTAGAGCTTTAGCATTCAAAGTCCTTGTAAGCCCATTATGGTAGATAGCCCCACCAAACTTGTGAGACAGAGTTTAGAGAAGAGAAAGCTGACATTGGAAAGGACCTGCACACAGTCTCAAGGCTGGAGAGAAGTAAAACTGTACCCAAACCCACATCTTCTCTTTCCAGTCTCCCACTCATAAGATCTATTTTCTCAGTTCCCCATTTCCCCCTCTCATGGCACAACATTCATCCAGGAATCTCATTTTCATCAGTGATATTTCTTACTATGGGAAGTGAGGAGGGGAGTAGTACTGGGATGCAGTTTGGAAAACAAAACAGAACAACCCTGAGGATTCCCACATGCTCCTCCCCATTTTCCCATTGTGCTCTCTTACTTCAATGTATCATGAACCACTGATTTCAAGCTGCCTGTCAGTCAAATCAAAACTTTTCTTTTCTCCTTTTGCATGCACATTAAGCCATCTCCTTCAGTCCTAGGAACTTGCCACTTACCAATATCCTTCCGAATCCTGTAGAGAAGAAGATGTCCTTGTTTGGTTCCAACGAGAAGCCATTCCTCTGCAAAACAAAGAGCCCAGAGAAAAGTCAATTACCTTTAGTAAAACCTTATTTCTTTAGCTGGTAAATTTCTTTGTAGTAATCAAAGAATCAAGCAAATGAGTTGCTCCTAGTAGCAAATGTTATGCAAACCAAAGGTATATGCAAAGGAATATATGCAAGAAATGTTAAGAGATGAACAACATGGAAATACACTGTCTCTGTAGGAAAGATGTTAAAAAAAAAATAAAAGGCAGAAAAGGAACAGGTAATGAGAGAACTACTGAAGGGTTTAATTAATCCAATTAAAGTATAATACATGGGCTGGGAAGGTGGCTCAGTGGTAGAGCGCTTGCCTTGCATGCATGAGGCCCTGGGTTTGATTCCTCAGCACTACATAGGCAAAGAAGAAAAAAGCCGGAAGTGGCGCTGTGGCTCAAGTGGTAGAGCTCTAGCCTTGAGCTGAAGAGCTGAGGGACAGTGCCCAGGCCCAGAGTTCAGGCCCCACGACTGGACCCCCCCCCCCAAAAAAAAAAAAGTATAATACATGCTTGTGTGAAATTCCTTTATACAACTAATATGCACTGAAAAAAGAAAGGGGAAAAAAAAAGAAATGTCTAATTAGGCTGTGATTGTGGCTTTGTGGTAGTGTCTAGCATGCATGAAGCCCTGCAGCACTTCAAAGAAAGGGGAGGAGGGCGGGATGGAAGAAGGGAAGGAAGGAAAGGAAAGAAATGTCTGAGAATGAATCAAGAATATTTACTGAATAATTACTATGTGAGAGATATTGAGAGGATCCCTGGCTTCACTGTTTCAAAAATCAAACTGACCAAAAAGATGTAAGGACTTTTTGCTGGTCTTTTTTTTTCTCCCTTCATTTCTTTTACACAAATAGCTCCTGACATTTGTGTTAGCAGCTCCGTCATTGGCTACGTCAGAGATAATCACTGAATTCCCCTGAAAGAACCAAAGGACAGCCCACAAAAGGACAAGAGTTCCCCCAGTACAGGCACTAGCCTGAAACTGCAGCAGCAGCATTCTGCTTTTCTTGCCTTTTGCTTCCATGGATGCTGCCTTGAGCTTTGGGATCTGCTCTTAATTCCATAGCTTTAGAGTGCTCTTCCACAGCCTCTCCTTCCTCAGGGGGGAAATGTACTCAGCACTATGGGCTCCATGATGGTGGTGGTTGCCTTTCTGGGTTGCAAGGGCTCTATCAAGACGTTCTGTTGCTCATTATCCTCCTTGCTGAGGTAACTTTGCCATCCTGCTCTTCAGTACATGTGACCCAGAGACTGGGGATGGATGGTCTCTGCTGAGACCCTGCATTGCCAGATCGAGAAAACCAGCCGGGTCCCAGGGCTGAGAACTGCAACTGCTCCGTTTCACCTCTGGAAATCCAAAGTATGCAGAGCCTGCAGCCCCACATGATCACCAGCTAGCCTGGCATCTTTGTCCTCCTTTCCCCTTTCCCCACTAGGATCCCTGTCTTATACAACCAGAGAAGGGGGTGTCAACTTGGCACCCCATCAGAGGCAGCACAAACTACTCACCCACTGGTGGCATCAGACATGTCTCTCAAGGTGGTGATTTTTAGACTTCAGAAGTGGTCAAAAGAATCCACAGCATTAGTGGCTTGAGATCAAAGGGTAGGTCCTGGACTGAATCTGCATCTTCTGTTTGTGAAATCAACTGTAAACTATGTCCAGAAGAGAAAGGGAGTTCTGGAGCCAGACTCACTGGATCGTTGTCACAAGTTTCTATTTTCTTTTTTTTTTGTCGGTCGTGGGACTTGAACTCTGGGCCTGGGCACTGTCCCTCAGCTCTTCAGCTCAAGGCTAGCGCTCTACCACTTGAGCTACAGCGCCACTTCCGGTTTTCTGGTGGTTTATTGGAGATAGGAGTCTCACGGTCTCTCCTGCCCGGGCTGGCTTTGAACCGCAATCCTCAGATCTCAGCCTCCTGAGTAGCTAGGATTACAGGTGTGAGCTACCAGCACCCGGCTTTTAGTTTCTGTTTTCTTTTCACCAGGAGTCTTAGCTATAGCAATGACAGTGTTCTTTCTTCAAAGGGTAAAGTCTTATTTCAGTCTCCTTATTCAACTGTACTTTCTTCAAAGGGCAAGGTCTTATTTCAGTCTCCTCATTCAAATGCCTTATCAGTTCAAGTCTTCCTAGAAAAGCCTACCCAGTGATTTATATTCTGACTTCAGCCAGCCTCAGCCTTTGAGCTATGCAGCCATGGAGGAACCTAGAAGCACTAATATCTAGCAGTGCTAGTATGGCTTAGCTGAAAGCCATACTTGACTCCTAATTATTATTATTATTAATATTATTATTTTGGTCAGTCATGGGGCTTGAACTCTGGACTGGGCACTGTCCCTCAGCTCTTTAGCTCAAGGTGAGCACTCTACCACTGGAGCCACAGTGCCACTTCTGGTTTTCTGTTGGTTAATTGGAGGCAGAGTTTCACGGATGTTCCTATCCTGGCTAGCTTTGAACCATGATCCTCAGATCTCAGCCTCCTGAGTAGCTAGGATTACAGGCATGAACCACCGGTGCCTGGCTTGACTCATAATTCTCATGGTTAGTTGTACAATCAACCTTTAATGAGCATTGGTGGTGTTCCAGAAAATGCTAACTCCATAATTTATGTTATTTCAATAACTAACACTCAATTATCCTTGAAGTACATCATTTTGTTTGTTTTTTAAGTCTTATTTACAGAAAAAGAAGTGGAGGGCTAAAAGATACACAGCTTGTCCATACACAAGGAGTAGTAGATGGCAGAGCTGGGATCCAATTACACATTGTGATACACTTGCTAAGGCATCCACATCCAAGGATGGGTGTGCGAAAGAGGTTGTCTGAAAGGCAGTAATTATATATATATATATATATATATATTTATTTATTTATTTATTTATAAAAACAGACCAGGTTTCATATTGGGAATATTTCTCCAGGCAGATGTCCTTAGTCAATGAGGAAAAAAGCAATTCTGCTTTCTTCTATATTTTTAAAAGGAAAGGCAGGACAATAGAAAGAAAGACTGATGCTCTCAATAATACATGTTAAAAAAAAAAAATCCTACTACATTAGCAATAATACATTGCTGGAGATTTTTGCCGAAGTAGAACATGGAAAACAGAATTCAGTTCATATAACTTCTCTAAAGAAGGTATTACAGAAATACAGTCATATCCTGACTTCAGCCAGTCAATTTTTGGAGAAAATTCCCAAGTTTTTTGGAGAAAAAATTAGGAACAGTTTGAGCCATGTTTACCAGACATCCAAATGAAAATACTCAATTACAGGATTCTGGGGTTTAGGGAGAAATCAATGCTTTTCTATACTTCCATTTTTCTGTTCCTGCATGATCTGACCTACAGGAGTTCTGGGATAAACTTTCTACATCAAGAAATAACTATTTGCTGAAGTCCGAATATGAACTCATTTTGATTCAAGAGGAAGTATAGCCCAATAACTACCTCAGTGCGACAAGTCACTTTTCCCATTTGGTGAGTAATCAAAACAGGACAAAACTAGTCACAACACAAAACTATGTTCATGAAAAGCAAAGGTAAAAGAATTTTCTAACCAGACAAAATGGTGTTAAAGAGACTCTTATGAAGGATTGGAGTCAGTATTTTTTCCCCCAGTACTAGAGCTTGAACTTGGGGCCTTGTACTCTAGCTATTTGTTTTTCCCTCAAGACTGGCACTCTACCACCTGAGCCACATCTCCTCTTCTGACTTTTTGCTAGATAACTGGCAATAAGAGTTTTGTGGACTTTTCTGCTCAGGCGCTGATTTCAAACAGGGATCATCAGTTCTCAGCTCCCTGAGTAGCTAGGATTATGGGCATAAGCCACCAACACCCAGCAAAGAGTTGGTAGTCTGACAAGCTAAGTCATGTGTGATAAGCAGTGTCCATCCTTTTCAGAGGCATATGCCTGAGGCTAAGGTGGCTACACCTCCTACAGGCTTCAGTAATTAGGCAGCATATGTCTCTAGTACCATTCATCTTGTATCACAATTTGTTCACATTTTTGTTTTCCACATTTTTGGGTGTGCTCTAGGAATAGGCTTTTGTATTCATTCTGTCCCTAGCAGGGAGAATGCCTCTAGGTACCTAATACATATTTGATGAAGAAACAAAGCAATTTCTCCATGCATTACCTCAGATTTTCAATTGTGTTAATTTCTTCCAAGAGCATTTTCCTCCAGGATATAGAGGCTTTCTTGAGATGTCTGGAAGAAGATCCTCATCTCTAAAGAGCTGGGACTGCTTTATTGGTCCCAGAGAGGCTGGTGCTAAAGGAGGTGAGGCACACATTAAGGTGAAACCTTAAAGCGAAGGGAGCCAGCTGACGGGGCCATTAAAAATTCTGCAAGGATGACTGTGTGTCAGTGTTAATTGATAGTGAACAGGATGCCAGCCACCACCAGTATCCCATGGCATTCCTTCTATCCTGTTCAGTGTAGAATCTGATTAAGGGTTTAAGCTACCTTTTTAAAGGCCCTTCATTTATGGACATTAACAGGAAAGACTGAATGACTTCTACTTGGCTCTTAGGGACTCTGATCAGAAACAACCACTCATGGGTAAGTTCAAAATGATTGTAGTTGAGAGCCAACGTTTTAAACTGATTTCCAGAACACAGAAGATGCCTGCCTGCGTTAGTCAATCCCAAAAAGGATTATAAGTTTTGTGCATTAGGTTTCCTGACAATCTGTTATGATGCTCTTCTATGTACAGCTGGGTAACTTGGATACTTTGGATATAAGGCAATTAATCACTCTGTTAGATTAAGAGTTAGAATATGAGCTGGGCACAGGTCACTCACTCCTATAATCCTAGCTACTCAAGAGGCTGAGATCTGAGCATCTTAGTTGGAAGCTAGCCCTGGCAGAAGAGTCTTCCTGAGACTCTTATCTCCAATTAATGACTCAAAAACCGGAAGTGGAACTGTGGCTCAACGTGGTAGAGCTCTAGTGTAAAGCAAGAGCTCAGGGATATAAGCACCCAAGCCTGAGTTCAAGCCCCATAACTAACAAGGGAGAAAAAAAAGAAAAGGAGAGAGAATGTCTCTGGATAGACTTTTCAGTATCACATTCTGTTCTGGAAAAAGGATTTTTTTTTTTTTTTTTTTTTTGGTCAGTAGTGGGGCTTGAATTCTGGGCCTGGGCGCTGTCCCTCAGATCTTTAGCTCAAGGCTAGTGCTCTACCACTTGAGCCACAGCGTCACTTTCTGGAAAAAGTACTTTTGCTATTCTTTGAGTTGCTGGTTAAGACAAATCTACCTTATCTCACTACCTACACTTTTTTTTTTTTTTTTTGGCCAGTACTGGGGCTAGAACATATGGCCTAGACACTATCCCTGAGCCTCTTTGTGCTCAAGTCTAGCACTTTGCTACCTGAGACACAGCACTACTTCCGACTTTTTCTGAGTTTATTGCAGGTAAATCTCATATACTTTCCAGCCTGGGCTGGCTTCAAACTGCAATCCTCAGATCTCAGCCTCCTAAGTAACTAGGATTACAGGTGCCAGGCTGTCAATTTTGAGAGAGCCCCTTATCTTTTCAGGCCTGACACTGATCGAGATACATTGTACTTTGAACCCTGACTTGTGAAATCTGAAACCTCTTTGTACAATTTTTTTTTTTTTGTAAAAAAAGAACCGAGAACTAGTAAAGAGGGGGCATCCTCCAAAAAGAAATGTACTTATTACCTAACTTATGTAACTGTAAGCCCTCTGTACATCACCTTTACAATAACAATGAAAAACTTTAAGAGTCTATGAGCTACCCATAGCAAAAAAAAAAAAAAAAGTCAACTACACGTGTACACTTACAGGGACAGGTTTTACCTTGTTCAATGTCAATAGATAATCTATCTTTCACCTAGAAAACAACACAAGCATCTTAACAAGCCCAAGTCCCCTGGCCGACTCCCAACTTCCCACTGCTTTGCCTCTCTACACTGAAAACTCTGCGAGACTCGAAATGGGCAAAGCTGAAGACCATCAATAAGCCAAGCTTAACCTCCAATAAACAGCTACGAGAGGGGGTGTAACGTCCCTCCGTTTCTGCGTCTTCCGAGATCGGCGCAGGCAGCCCCCACGAGCGTCGCAGACTCTTCTCCCACCGACTCGACCCCACAGCCCGGTGCTTCCGGGCTGACCCGGCCGCGGCCCGCGGCCCCCGCGGCTCACCCCAGGCAGCCAGACAGTCGATCTGCAGAGGCAGCTTTTCCAGGATCGGCACCGGTTCGAAAGCGTCGTGCATGGTGGCCAGGAGAGAGTCGCTGCTGCCGTCCCGCCTGAAGTAGTCCGGACGAGGCTGGCGGACAGAACCAGGCCGGAGGAGAAAAAGATAAACCGGGACCTGGCCCGGGACCCCGGCTACGGGACCTTCGGCAACTCAGCCATCGCCAGCGTCGGACTTCCTGCTAACTTAACCCCGCCCCTTCCGCTGCCGAGGTGCGCCTTCCGCCGCCGAGGCCCCGCCCCTTCCGCTCTGGCGTACTTGAAGCAGTCAATGAAAAGTAGTCTGTTACTATCACAGCTTGGAGAGTCAGCCGTGGCTCCCGGTCTGGGCGCTGTCCCTCAGCTCTTCAGCTCAAGGCGAGCGCTCTACGCTTTCTGCTGATGAGGAATCGAGCCCAGGGCCTCAGGCATGCAAGGCAAGCGCTCTAGCACTGAGCCACCTTCCCTAGAGTTCATATTTTTAAAGCTGTTGCAGACCGGAGGTTGTGTGTGGTCTCTAGGCCAGAAGCATCAGCATCACCTTGGTAGAAATGGGAGTCTCAGGCTTTATTCCAGCTTGACTGAACCATTCTAGAGGCAACAGCCATCTCTTTTAATCAGACACTTAAAGGGGGTGGGGGGAGGGTTGTGCACTTAAAAGCTTGAGAACCACCTAATGAGACTAAGGTTCGACAGAAGCCCTAGACATTTGACTAGGGGAGTTGTATGTAGGACAAGATAATTCCTTGAGTGTATGTGGTAGGAAGAGCTGTTCTATACATTGTGATGTTTTGGCAGTATTCCTAGCTTCTATCCACCAGATAGACACCAAAGCACCCTGAGATCAGACATGTTGCCAAAAAATGTCTATGCCAAACGACCACTGGCTGGCAAAATTACTTCCAGTGATCCAGTATGGTTATTAGGTCAATGGGTTCTTCTGTTTAGTGCACACAAAGCACTTGGACATATTGTGCGATTTTGATTCAGTAGGGACAGCATGAGACTCTCAAATGAGCATTCTAACAGGCTCCCAGGAACTACCACTGCTACTGATCCCTGAACCACATTTTGAGTAGCAAAGGTTTTGGCAGCAAGAGTTAATTCACTAACTTTTGAGAGTCAGAAAAAATAAAGCTTTTTAAAACTGATGATCATACTTTTACCAACTCAACTGTCCCAAGATTCCCCATCCTAACATTCTTCTTAAGAAGCAAAAGACATCATTCTTCATATGGATCCTAACTATCTGGTTGCCTTAGTATCCCCCGTGGAGATTAGAAAACTGAATTTGAGGTCCAAGAATGATCTAATAAAGCACCAAGAATGTCATAAACTTAAGCAGTTGGGTCTAAAGCATAACTTTAAGAAAGTGAATCTATGATATAATGTTAAAAACAACTAGCCTAGGATACTTTATATATTATCAGTTTCTTTTTTTGTTGTTGTTGGTTGTGGGGCTTGAACTCAGGACCTGGGCACTGTGCCTGAGTTCTTTTGCTCAAGGCTAGAACTCTGCAACTTGAGCCACAGCACCACTTCCAGCCTTTTGTTTATATGGTGCTGAGGAATCAAACCCAGGGCCTTATGCATGCAAGGCAAGCACTCTACCACTGAGCCACCTTCCCAGGCCAATTATGAGTTTTGGTGTTTGTTTGTTTTTGGGCTTGAACTCTGGGCTTGGACTGTCCCTCAGCTCTTCAGCTCAAGGCAAGCACTCTACCACTTGAGCCACAGCACCACTTTCCAAATTATCAGTTTCTTAGTAAGAGAGATATGTGTCCCTTCCTGAAATTTTAGACTTACTAGTTGCTGTGATACAAAAAAGTCAAATTCCTTTTAGTTCCAGATTCTGAGACCAAGAATATAAACTAAGGAAATAGGATGTGAAACTATATATTCCTTGTGAACTTTTCTAAAGGCACACTATATCCACTCAGTAACACAGGAAGCCATAAATAGAATTATCTGACCCCAAGTTACAAAATGTATATTATCCTCCTTAGTCTCAAGTCAATATCAAAATGCATTAAAAATTAAAAATATCTGACCATCTTAGAGAGAAAAGACCTTGAGACTTTTATCTTCAATTAACCACCAGGCACTGTGGGTCAAGTGGTAGACTGGGAGCCTTAAGCCAGGCCCTGAGTTCAAGCCCCATGACTGACAAATATGACCACTGGGATGGGAGGGAAAAATTGAGAGAGAACGAGGGAAGGAGTGGCATTGTCCAAAAAGAAATGTACTCTTGACTTATGTAACTGTAACTATATACCTCCTGGTATATTACCTTTATAATAACAAAAATTCTTTTAAGAATAAATACTACCGTAGTGGATGACATGAGACCCATTTAAACTAGAAAAAAATAATCTGACCAATTATCCTATTGCAATGAAAGAAACTATTAATCCATTTGCTAAGTTTTACAGGACAACTGCAGCACATGACAATGCCACTAGCCTCTGGCTAAAGTTTAAGATTGAGAATACGCTTGGTTCTTCATGTTGCTGTCCCTTAGGAATACTGTCTACTGACCACAGCACAGGCTGTAGAGATATACTACCCAAAATGTTAACACGTTCACTGTCATATGTTAGTGGAAATTATGGTCATTGTGGATGTTGATTTCAACCGAACATAACAAAACCTGTAATAAAAGCCATGGAAAGAAAGTTTGTTTTGTAGAAAAAAGGAGAAAGAAGGGTACTTAGGGAAAGTCTGAAATAAATGAGAAAAATATATTAATTTTGTTAAATTTTTATATTAAAAGGGGGAATGGGCTTTTTATGTAGAACAAAAATCTCAGGAAGGCAAAATTGGATAAAACCATTAAAACAGAAATAGAGTGCTTCAAGTGAATACCATCACCTTGTGATGTCCCTTACAAACAGTTTCTAAACCAACACCAGATACTAGAACAGTCAACCCTAAAAAAAAACAAGCAGCAGTCCAGGGCCTCCACACTACTTCATGCAAGAACTGAAAAGCCAGAAGGATCTGTTTCTGTTCCACGAGCACCCGCTTCCAAAGCCTCACAGTCCCTCGAGCAGGTGCTCAATCCTAGCACTGAGATGGAGTGCTTCTTAGTATCTAGTGCAACTCCCAGAGAATGGCATGAAGGCAAACCAAACATTGCCTAGGACTCCACAAAACCCCCCTTAGGGGCTTACAAAACAGTAGTTCAAGGTTTTGGAGTGTGCACCACATTGCCAGCAATGGGATGTGTCACAATAGCAGATGTCAAAAGAGCTGAGCTAACATTTTTCTTTAAAGTACATCTGAAATAGAAAAATCTTTAATATACACCATTGTAAATAAAATTGCACTTGATTTTGCTTTTTTTTTTTTTTAACAATCTGAACCACATTTAACTGTTTCTCTCTTTTTTTCCTTTTGGTCATGGACAGTAGCATGACTGCTTAACTCAGAAGGGCCATGTTTCAGTCAAAATTGCCTCTTCAAGATGTTGCCATGACTTCCCAGAAAACTGAAAGGTAAGTAACAAGTTCCTCCATCACCTATGCAACTCCTGAAATAAATAAAAACTGCAGGCAGTTGCTCCTGAAAATTACATATTATGGTGCTGATGATACAGTCCTTTAGACGATGTTAACCTTTTTAGTTTGACAAATTAAACAACTGAAATAGAGAGTTCAGGAACAACAAACAAATAAGTTGCATACATATCCGTTTCTGGGTGTGGGAGAGAAAGAGTATCAATGTTGTAAATACGAAGCATGTAGATTTTCTCATCCTATGAATGTGTTTCCAGTAAGATGTTCTCCTTGTTCTGACACCTCTTGCCAGCTCCCAAGCACAAAGATCAAGGAACAGATCAGGATGACATTGCCTGCTTTAATCCATGGATGGAGAAGACTGACACAGATGCTGATCTCTTCCCTGACACTAGCCAACTTCAACTGCAAAGTTTCTTATCTTTTACTCCATTTTAGACCTTTCAAAGTGTGTGATCATTCGTTCCTAGGGAGTAAACAAAGGATTATTCTAAGTACATTGAGATAATATGGTCTATAGTTCAAATATCTTCAAGATCAACTACCCAAACATACATTTTGCACAAGTACTTGTTTGTTAATTAAATGTTTACAGCAATGACTTCTATATATGAAGATTTCAAAGCATATAAACATGTAGGTTTCATCCAAGGTCAAAAAAAAAAAAAATCAAAAGGTCTAGATGCTGGTGGCTCATGCCTGTAATCCTACCAACTCAGGAGGCTGAGATCTGAGGATCTTGGTTCAAAGCCAGCCAGGGCAGGAAAGTCTATGAGAATCTTATCTCTACCAGCAAACTGGAAGTGGTGGTTCCAGGTAGAATGCTTAGCCTTGAACAAAAGAGAGAGAGAGAGAGAAAAAAAAAAAAAGAACAAAAGAGTCTAGGCCCTGAGTTCAAGCCCCAGGATCCAACCCAAGGGAAAAAAAAAAAAAAAAAGTTTTGGTCCTTTGAATAGCAAACCATAACTCAGAATGACAAGTATATTTTAGTCAATTAAAATGACTTAAAAAAAATATAATTAAGCTTTATGAAGAATCTACACAATTTTTAATTCAGGAATGTAAGTTGAAGACAGAATTTAGACAGAAATTTAGCCACAACATTCAGCATTACCACAAGATACTAGAAAATTGAATAGTAGAGGGTTTTGTAAACAAACTGAGATATCTTTACAAGGAAGTATAAATTCATGAAATTATATCTGATGAAGTCTTAGAAACCTGTTGTGCAGTGTTGTGTACCCAATTAACACTGCATATAAGAATGGCAGGAGGGTCGGTTTTATGTGTTTTGTTTGTCAATTGTGGGGCTTGAACTCTAGGCCTGGGCTCTGTCCCTCAGCTCTTCAGCTCAAGGCTACATTCTACCTCTTGAGCCACAGTGCCACTTCTGGTTTTCTGGTGGTTAACTGAAGAATCTCAGGGCTAGGAAGGTGGCTCAGTGGTAGAGTGCTTGCCTTGCATGCATGAGGCCCTGGATTCGATTCCTCAGCACCACATAAATAGAAAAAGCTGAAAGTGGCACTGTGGCTCAAGTGATAAGAGCACTAGCCTTGAGCTGAATTGCCGAGGGACAATGCCCAGGCCCAGAGTTCAAGCTCCATGATCCACCAAAAAAAAAGTCTCACAGACTTTCCTGCTCAGGCTGGCTTTAAAGGGCTG